AGACAATGCACCATGCCATCGTTCCCGAATTGTATCGGAATGGTTGGATGAACATTCTACATACCTGCATGTGCTTTCCTGGTCATCATTGTCACCTAACCTCAATCCAATCGAGCACATCTGGGATGCAATTGAGAGAGATGTTTGCAGCTCTGACCATCTTCCATCTAATCTTCGTAATTTGTCGGAGATTATTCAGGACTCGTGGATACATATGGCTTCCAGTGTCTTGTGGAGTCCATGCCAAGACGAATCGCAGCCATCATCAAGGCGAAAAGTGGTGCTACATGCTACTAAACAGGTATCCCTAATTCAATTGCTCTTTGGTGTATATAGTAATTACACTTAAGTGTTGTGGTATTATCAAAATAAACTTTTAGAAGATGAGAATGTTTGCTAGTACAGGTAACCCCTGTATAACATGGGAGTTATGCTCCAAAAAATTGCCATGTTATGCGAATCCGTGTTATACGAAACGAAGAACTAGTACGAAAAGGGGGGGTTAGGTTCCAAAAATTAAAAAACATACTACTGTATTATATTTTCATAATTAAGATAAATATCTTTATTAAAATTTTCTTAAGTGATACATATTAATATAAATTAAACAATGTTTTCTTCGTCATCACTAAGCACTATTAACCGAGGGCGTTTTCTTTTTGGCAAGATATCCTTATCCTCTGAACATTTTTCTGCATTATCTTCAGATCCATGCTCTACCTTTTGCAAAAAATGTGTTATTTTAGACTTGCTTTTAGTTAAAAGATTTTTATAAATTTCCTTATATGGTGCTAAGTAAGGATGCACTGATAAGCAAAATGGCCAATTACCGAGTGCAATCAGCCGATTACCGATCAGTGTTAATAATTTATTGCGTTAATAGTGAGAGATCCTGGAGTTAATTATACAGTTAATTATAATGTGGAAAAAACCTCATACAGTCTTCCTTGGGTCAGGTAAACAACAGACGATCGAATATCCTCGCAAAATCAACAATCTCGTCTAGTTTACATCTGTCGAACGTTTTCGGTCTGATTCACAAACCTTCATCAGGATCGAATTATCAATCGAAATATATTTCAAATTTGCATAACGGAGATTCCAAACTGCACGTTCTTCTCGATTGCGCATGCTCATAAATATAATTTTATAATTTTAAAGTTGCCGCTTTCCATGCCGACGCTATTTTGTTCGATTCACGGAAATTTATATTACGCCCTTTTTCTTTGCTCTTGTAAATGTGCCAGGCTTCTGCATATTTTAGATGTTTTATATTTTTCACTTTTTGTATGACANTAAAATAAATCTCAACATGCACAGAAACTTCGACATTGTTTATAAAGCTTAAGTGTTAGTGTTTAACAGAAACAAAATACATTTCTTTAACCGTTGATATTTGGACAGCAACTACAAGCAATTTTCTTTTTTTAAGTGTAACAGCCCACTGGTTTAAGGATGATTTTCAGCAGGAAAGAGCTGTTTTGCAAATTGTTCCCTTTGAAGCTACCCAAATCAGTGAACAGATAAAAATTGTTCTTGAACAGTATAAGTTGACAAGTGATAAGATATTCTTAGTACTGAGAGATTTTGCAGCAAATATGGTAGCTGGAATTAGGAATTGCAACTTAACTTAAATGAATGCACATTTTCTCAACAAGATGTGAAAACTATAATGACAGTTAATAGAAATATTGTCACACATTTTAATCATTCTGGTGTAGCTGTAATTGGAAGACAAGTTAGGTTTGCAGAAACATAAATTAATTCAAGATGTTCCTGCTCACTGGAATTTTACATACTACATGGAACAGCAAAAAGCCCTTGTCAAATATGCTATGGATAATAAAATTCCTACGTTGAGCCCACCATCGGTGGTCTCTTGTTGAAAAAATTGTTCTACTTTTAAAACCATTCAAAGAAATTGCTTTGGAAGCCAGCAAGCGAGAAACCACCTCATCTTCAATAATTCCCACAATAAAGACTCTGAAATTAATCTTATCAAAAGCAAAGAGCAGTAGTTCCATAAGTAGCATTAATATCACAATAGAAGAACTAGAAAATCCAATAAAAAAAAAAAGATTTTCAGCATGTATAGAAAACAAGTCTTTATGCTTGTCATCTTTATTAGATCCAAGATTCAAATTGAAATTTCAAAAAGAGGATATGGTAGAGGAAATAAAAATATGGGCAATTGATAGCTTAGATGTTGATAATTCAAAATCTCAATAAGAATTAAATTCTGAAGCTTCTGCCCACCAGTAGCCAAGTGATCTTCGTACCCTGAACACTGCAAGTTCGGTGATGGGTTTGCACCTCGTTCAGACGGGCTAACCATGTGGAGTTTTCTCCACATCTGTAATGCCTAAATAGGGGCCAGTTTCCCTTAAAAAGACCTCCAGGAAGGCATTCCCCTAGGCAGATCGCCTAAGTGTTGCATTTCCATAACTAAACTAAACAAACAAACTAAAGCTTCTACTTCTGGAGATGATCAAGATGGAGGTGAATCTCTAACTTTTTCTGATTTATTTGATGAATTAGCTTCTGGTAAACGAAAAAATGAAGAATAGCATGTTTCTAAAAAGAAAGAAAAAACAAAAGAAACGAACTAACATTTTGATCAAGAATTAGAAACATATTTACATTTACCTCTTAAACAAAGACATGGTGACCTATTTTTGTGGTGGAGAAGCTCAAGAACTTTTTCCTAAATTGTAGATTGAATTACTTTAGTTCCTATTTGCATAATCATTTTTGCTTTAGCTATTGTTCGCTATGTAACTTCGGGTAAATTATGTCACTCATAATTGCCGTTTTATAATTTTTAGAACATCATTCTAATTCAGATTTGTTTTATATTCCATCCACATGCTGCTTATAATTTTAAAATTGTTCAAAAGCGTAAAATATGATAGCTGTTGTATTCAATATTTGCCTGATGACAGTAACTTTATGGTACTGAAAGTACTAGTGAACATTCTCATTTTCTAAAAGTTTATTTGGTAATGCCACAACACTTAAGTGTAATTATTATATTACAAGAGTTGGCGTGAAGTGCAAGTTATTTTATTATAGAATTTAATGTAAGCAGAACAACTTTCTTGTTGAAATATCTTGAAAACTTTTGTTAAAAATGTAATGTTTAATTTTACAATTTTTATTTTAAAAATAGCAACATAAGATTTAAACATTGTATTGATTTTATCAATGTCTACTGATAAAAATCAATACAAGGGGTTAACTGAGATAGTTGATAAAATATATTGATTTTTCTAGACTGCAGCTCCTCCAGGATTTTCTAGAGATAAGAACAAAATTTTGTTAACTTGTTGAAACTTGCATGTTATTTTACTTGTAATGAAGAAAGGTTTGTTTGACATCTCATTACTTTGTTAACAACATCAGACAAAACTAACATATTGTATTTATTTTATAGCATAAACAAAAATATTACACATTTTTTTATCTGTGGTTATATCCTTTTTGTTAGCCATTTTATAAGATTCCACACTTGTGGGAATCTTATAAAATGGTTAATTTTACTTAAATTTTTCTTTAAAATTTTACTTAAATTGTTTCTAAAACATTTATATATATATATATATAAAAGTTCTTCAAAAATATTTATATAATAATTAAACAACCAGACTTTCAGACTTTTTTTAAGTTAGAGATAATTTTGTATTTACAGATTTAATCATTTATCACATCTGACATCCTTATTTTATATTACTGAAACTTTTTGGATTATGTATTAACAATTTTTATGTTTAAAATATGTAGTGTTAATTTACTATATTATTCATTTTTACATATTTTAAACATAAAAATTGTTAATACATAATCCAAAAAGTTTCAGTAATATAAAATAAGGATGTCAGATGTGATAAATGATTAAATCTGTAAATACAAAATTATCTCTAACTTAAAAAAAGTCTGAAAGTCTGGTTGTTTAATTATTATATAAATATTTTTGAAGAACTTTTATATATATATAATAAAGATTACATATGTTATGGACAAAGTGATTGATGCGGGCATCAGCATAGCACATACATTAGCATTTGTAAAAATGAAACTTAGTAAAAATATGTAAGATTGTTTAGTAAATGTTTTATGTCGGAAGTCTTTGAATTCCCAATTTATTTATCCTCTTGGATCAAGGCATTGACAAGTCATCAAAATATCAACATTTAAATAAAATGGCAGGAACCTTTTTCCATGTTTTTTTTTTGTATTTCCTATTTTATGAAGATTTTTTTGTATGTATCAATAGTAGATTGCATCTGTTCAGTTTTATGCAAAGGATCTTGTATAACTTATCCCTTCACAGTTCCCAATAAATTAGCATTAATTCTAAGCAATCATTATATTTATATTAATTTTGTTGGTATGCATTACAAATCACAATAGCCTCAATAGGGCTAAATGGCAAAGGGACTTTTGTATATGGGTACTCAACATATGCATATAATTTTTTAAATGGCCTTCTCAAACAGATTTAAATATATCTGTCTTATTTTTGTACTTAGGATGGGCTCTTGAAATTTATTATGTGAAAGTTTCTATTAAAAAAATTATATGTAGTCAAATCTTTTTGCTTCAACATTATTCGTAAATTAAAGACCCATACTGTTTCACTTTTGATAGCCATTTAATTGCTTTCAGATTATATACAGCATGATCATAACTATACACTTTAAAATACGTTGCCTAACAAATAATAATTCTATTGCATATAAAAACATTATAAAACTTTTTATATTTAGTGAAACCAATTTGACTGAATTAAAAAAAATTTGTCTAGAAAATTATCCTATTAATAAAAGTAATAATCCAATAAGGTTTTTTTTGTAAAGATATTAATTGCAAACAATAATTCTGCAATTCTTATCTCTCAAAATATTTTTTATGAATTAATCTTTTAATTATGGATAATTAAATGGAATTTTTTAAAAATAGAATTTTGTTATCCTATTTCATAACTTTTACTTCTATTTCAGGTTGAATTGACAAATATATCTTTCTTGCCAACATCTCAAACTTCAATTGATAAACAAGAGCTGCTTATTACACGTAAGAAATAATTTTGTTCTAAGTGATACATCTTTCTTCCATTAAGTAATATATTGTAGAAATAAAAGTTAATAAAAGCAAACTATTTTATTTCTTTAGGTGACACTTTGGAAATCGGAGCCAGATTGAGCATTGCCACGGCCGACATTCCGTCATTCGAGCGTTACATGGCACAATTGAAATGTTACTATTTTGATTATCAGTAAGTAACATTTGGAAAACAACAAAAGTTAATGTATGTACATAAATTGATGCATTTTAATTTATTTATAGGAATGATGTTCCAGATTCAAATTACAAGTATCATCTTCTGGGTCTGAATCTTCTTCGCTTGTTAGCTCAAAACAGAATGGCTGAATTCCACATGGTAAATTGAAAGTTGCAAATAATTTAAAACTTTATTATTCATAATTTAATTTAGAATTTATCCGAAGGAATTAGAACTTTTGCCGTTTCGTGAGCTCCAAAATATTTACATTCGACATCCCGTATCTCTAGAACAGTATTTGATGGAGGGTAGTTATAATAAGGTAAGAATTTTCTGAATTTTAAAAAAATTTAAATGAAATAGATTAAACTGGATATCACTTTCAGATATTCTTATCGAGAGGAAATGTTCCAGCCAATGACTACAAGTTTTTCATGGACATATTACTGAATACAGTCAGAAATGAGATTGCAAGTTGTATCGAGAAGGCTTACGAACAGTTGGCTTTTACTGAAGCGAGAAGGATGCTGTTTTTTGAAACACAAGACAAAATGGAGGAATATGCTAGAGAGGTAAGCATGTTTGCATTTTTCTCAGATAAAAATTTTGCTAAATATTCATGCAAATTCAACACACACCATTTCAATTATAAAAAGTAAAATGATGTGTATTTGCTGTTTTAAGTTCATTGAAATGGTTATTGTTTAGGGCCTGAAAATGGATTAATTCACTTTCCATTATTTCTAATGATGGAAAATTACTTCAGAGTTCAAATAGCCTCTTGGAAGTACGAGACACAACAACACGGTGCCTCTCTCGCACTTCCAATATACTATTAATACACACAACTGGATCTTAATGCATGTAAGTTCATTGATGTTTCTTGGGTATTTCTGGTACATTTAACTTTAGATCAGTTTTTCAACTTTTTTCTCATCATGTACTGGTAAAATTATGGATAATTTTATCTGGACAAAGTAATTAAATGCAACTATGAATTATGCTTATTTATTAAGTTTATATATGCTTAACTAGAGTTACTGTATGTAACAACTACTATTTAAGTGTCATTTGCAATCAACTGTGCTAGCTTCAGTGTGCAATTCTGTTGGCATCGTTGATCTCCTGCATCCGCCATTTCATTTTCCTGTCTGTTGGTCCTTATTTTTGATATCATTGAATGAGATTGTCCAGATGTTTAGCACTCCAAATCACTTCTTTCCCTTCTTTGTGAAATACATTAATTTTGACCGTGATCCTTTCCATATCCCATTTTTAATGGTAATTACTGTGCATTCTATTGACCCTTTCTTTTCACTTATATATTTATATGCAAATTTCATGATTCTGATCATTAAATTCTTTGTAATTAGTTCCAATTGGTACATGTTCTGTTAATGTTGGACACCCTATTTTTAGCAATAGAAATTTTCACAGTATCAACTATTATTATACAAGTACTTGGAAAAAATTTAACAAAGTGTCTAGGAACTCAGTGATTTGCATGAAAATATTAATAATCTATATTATTGTTGGACAGACTATAATGCCATTTGTATTACAATCACTATGTGATTATTGGCCTAAGATATAAAATTGAATGCGCTTGTTGGGTAACAGTCTGCACTTAACGGATAGTTTATTTTACTGTGGTTCAATCTCTTTCAATAGTGTATTCTTTCTTTGATCTATGGATTCTAGTGTTGTCTAATTACAATTGCTAAAGATAACATAGTGAGCGTGACCTTTCTGAATATCCACACTAGTTTTCCAATACGAAACAGCTATTATTGCTGTTATTCAATACTACAAAATAAAAAATTTCTAATAAAATTTTTTTTTATTGCATTTAATTGTAACCTTATCCCAACTAAAGAGAGTTTATGCAATTTCCTATTTGGGAACTACCAGTCTAGATCAGTGGTGCACAAACTATTTTCATTTCTGATCACTCCCATTTTGTGTAAAATTTTTTCATGACCCCTAGATTGTTGAAGAGAAATTCATGTAGTCTTAGTTAAGCAAAATCCCAAATAGAATTTCATTTTGTGTTTCTGCCTTTAGAGGTCTGAATAAAAAATTAATTTTACTGGTACCTGATACTTGTTGAAGAAAAGCCTTGTCTTTTTTATTTTCAAATAAATTTCTTTGAGTTTGGCAACCCCAAAAAATTTTATTGCAACTTCTCTGGGGGTTGCACACCATTGGTTTAGACCATCGGGGCTTTATCCTTTCCCATTCACTTATCGGCAAAAAATATTTTTTCACATAATGATAGAGCTAGAGAAAAGTAGCAGAAATTTGCATTATATAGCATTAAGAATGCATTAATTGTAATTCCAGCTCTTGCTGGGGTATTAGATATAATTAGTGATCAATAAGTCTGTAGCTTGTTGGCATAACAAAGTCTACACCTGTGTAAACAAAGAATTTTTTCTTAGTGAAAATGTATTTTGTAACCTTTGGTAAAAGTTTGTCATCTTTTACCAGTTCTGTTGATAATTTTGCACGAGCTCTCGTCTCTCTTACATGCTTGCGCACACACGTCATTCTTATCAGATAAGTGTATTCTGAGTGAAACATCTGTGCTTCCTTGGATCATTTACCAGCTCGATTTGGAGTAGAATGAGTAGTTGTGAAAGAGCTGATGTCTCATCTCATTAAATTTTGGTATTGAAATAACAACACTAGAATTATTAATGTGCAACTTAATTTACTGTAGATAGTGTTCCTGGCTTGGCCGCAGAGCCAGTGGAGGTGTATTGTTCAGTTGGAACATGGTTTTGGACATACAACCTATCACACTTATTCTACTTTTTTTCTTTCTATTGTAGAGAGGGTGGAAAATGGACAGAGACAACCGTTTCGTGTTCATCATGGAAGTGAAGCAGTCTGACACGAACATCCCGGCCTCGGAGCTCGCGTCCCAAACTATACAGTACGCCAGAGAGCTAGAGAAGATCGTGTAACGCAAATTTTTTTTATTTCTTACAAATAAAAGTTTTGTTCTAATTTAAATCAAAAAAAAGAAATACAAATGAATTAGACGGGTTTGTAGTCCAGTTTCGACTCTAGTTTCTTGTTGTCTGCCACTTTACGGACGGCCTTCATGAAGTCTTCTTCGATGACATATTCTCGGTCGGCGCGGATGGCAAACATGCCTGGAAAAACAGAATTCAAATTAGACCAAATATTTGCATATGCAAGGAAAAAATGATTATTGTATAGAAAGTGAATAAGCATGGAAAGAATGTTTTTTACAATGACATGTGAAAGTGGATAGTTTTGAAAAAATTTAATGCTTTAATCATCCAGACTAGCTGCATCACAATGGGTGGTATCAAATTATTGTTGTTGAAGCCTTCCAATCCTTGCAAGAGCTGTCAAAGTTCGTTTTCGACCTCCTTAGAGGCTCTGCAAGATAAATCTTTTAAACTTGAGACTCCTTTTAGACACACACACACACAAAAAAACCAAGCTTGGTCAGGCTGATCTGATTAATATTAGCACGCTCCACAAAAGCAAATCAATTTTAACATTTTATAAATTCTTGAAACCAAGTAGTTGTTCAGGATGCACAATAAATGGATTGAATAGAACAAAACACTTAGGTAACAAAAGTGAAGTCATTGTGCATGTGCATCTGACAAACAGACAGACAAAAGTCATAACATAAGCACTTTGCTTTTTAGCGTGCTCCACTATAGTAGTAAACTAAGCAAGGGACCTCCAGAAAACCTACAAAGAAAAACACTATGGCCGTGAAATGAGGGGACTCAAAGTGGTCGTTGCCACTCTCGGAAGATACACTGCACATAACACAGAACTTTGAACTTTTTACATTCAAAATGACAACTTAGACAAAATACCTTGTCTATGGTTTATCGATCTAGTTCCAACTTATGCCAATATTGATACAACAGTTAGGCATTTTGAAGTTGGTTTACCTTTTGCTTACAGAAAATAATCTCCAAAAAATGACCATAGGTTGTTTTGCATTTCTCGATTTGCTGGCGACCGGGAACAAAACTCTCTGAGTAACAAGAACATGTAGCCCAAAAAATCACTTTTGAACATAGATCAAAAGATAAATGCTCTTTGCCTCTAACTTCATTATTTAAGTGGTTGTGGACATAAAAATTACTATTATTTAACATCTTATAATTATCTTTGATTCAATGGCGACTTCTACCCACTATCATTTTGTTTCCCTTTTACAGCAGTCTTTTATGTCAACAATCCATATTTTAAAGGACTCACGGAAGAGTTTAACATAGTGGTCATTTATTAATGAACGTATTTGTTAAATGGAAAAAGCCTTATTTTTGGGAACGAGAACATTTTTCTTTTTATATTGTAAATGCCTGTAAATGTAGGTAGAAGCATATCTGTCAAATTTTCAAAAAATTTTTCATCCCAAAACATAAAACAAAGTAGAGGTTTGCTCACACAGAATCTCATTCCCATTGTTGATGGTTTTTGAACTGAGAAATGCAAAAAAAGCTGATGGGTCAAATTTTGGCACTCTATTTTTCCAGAATTTTAAAGCATCGTAAAGAAAACTTTACATTTTTGGCACCACAAACTACCACCGTGTCGATTTTCCAATCCCTCTGACTCTGTTTTAACGAAGATGACCAAGAAACTAACAGTATTATTATATTTAACATCTCTAAATCACAAGATCTTATTTTGCTTTCTCCATTTTTGAACAAGTTCGAAAGCCAGTGAAATCGACTTTAAAAAAATAAAGCCATTGGTGTGCTGTAACCTAATATAAATGGCCTTTGAGGTTCCAACACTTTACCTTTCAAAAAAAATTAAAAAATTGCAACTCACAATTGAGCGGCCGACAAAAGATTTTTGTGGCTCAAACCTCCAATCTATCATGTGCTTCTAGTTGTCATTAAGGATTTATATTTCTCTTAACAATGTAGTAGTAGAAGTGGTCTTTTTGTAAAAATGTATCATTTTTTTTTTTTTNAAAATTTTTTTAAGTGATACATATTAATATAAATTAAACAATGTTTTCTTCGTCATCACTAAGCACTATTAACCGAGGGCGTTTTCTTTTTGGCAAGATATCCTTATCCTCTGAACATTTTTCTGCATTATCTTCAGATCCATGCTCTACCTTTTGCAAAAAATGTGTTATTTTAGACTTGCTTTTAGTTAAAAGATTTTTATAAATTTCCTTATATGGTGCTAAGTAAGGATGCACTGATAAGCAAAATGGCCAATTACCGAGTGCAATCAGCCGATTACCGATCAGTGTTAATAATTTATTGCGTTAATAGTGAGAGATCCTGGAGTTAATTATACAGTTAATTATAATGTGGAAAAAACCTCATACAGTCTTCCTTGGGTCAGGTAAACAACAGACGATCGAATATCCTCGCAAAATCAACAATCTCGTCTAGTTTACATCTGTCGAACGTTTTCGGTCTGATTCACAAACCTTCATCAGGATCGAATTATCAATCGAAATATATTTCAAATTTGCATAACGGAGATTCCAAACTGCACGTTCTTCTCGATTGCGCATGCTCATAAATATAATTTTATAATTTTAAAGTTGCCGCTTTCCATGCCGACGCTATTTTGTTCGATTCACGGAAATCGCATGGAAAGCGGCAACTTTAAAATTATAAAATTATATTTATGAGCATGCGCAATCGAGAAGAACGTGCAGTTTGGAATCTCCGTTATGCAAATTTGAAATATATTTCGATTGATAATTCGATCCTGATGAAGGTTTGTGAATCAGACCGAAAACGTTCGACAGATGTAAACTAGACTGCATTTTAAAGGTATAGTGAATTTTTGTTAAATAGTAATGCAGTTAGAGATAGAATGAATAGAATCAACAATCTCGTTTTTTGTTTGAGAAAGTTTCTAAAATAAATCTCAACATGCACAGAAACTTCGACATTGTTTATAAAGCTTAAGTGTTAGTGTTTAACAGAAACAAAATACATTTCTTTAACCGTTGATATTTGGACAGCAACTACAAGCAATTTTCTTTTTTTAAGTGTAACAGCCCACTGGTTTAAGGATGATTTTCAGCAGGAAAGAGCTGTTTTGCAAATTGTTCCCTTTGAAGCTACCCAAATCAGTGAACAGATAAAAATTGTTCTTGAACAGTATAAGTTGACAAGTGATAAGATATTCTTAGTACTGAGAGATTTTGCAGCAAATATGGTAGCTGGAATTAGGAATTGCAACTTAACTTAAATGAATGCACATTTTCTCAACAAGATGTGAAAACTATAATGACAGTTAATAGAAATATTGTCACACATTTTAATCATTCTGGTGTAGCTGTAATTGGAAGACAAGTTAGGTTTGCAGAAACATAAATTAATTCAAGATGTTCCTGCTCACTGGAATTTTACATACTACATGGAACAGCAAAAAGCCCTTGTCAAATATGCTATGGATAATAAAATTCCTACGTTGAGCCCACCATCGGTGGTCTCTTGTTGAAAAAATTGTTCTACTTTTAAAACCATTCAAAGAAATTGCTTTGGAAGCCAGCAAGCGAGAAACCACCTCATCTTCAATAATTCCCACAATAAAGACTCTGAAATTAATCTTATCAAAAGCAAAGAGCAGTAGTTCCATAAGTAGCATTAATATCACAATAGAAGAACTAGAAAATCCAATAAAAAAAAAAAGATTTTCAGCATGTATAGAAAACAAGTCTTTATGCTTGTCATCTTTATTAGATCCAAGATTCAAATTGAAATTTCAAAAAGAGGATATGGTAGAGGAAATAAAAATATGGGCAATTGATAGCTTAGATGTTGATAATTCAAAATCTCAATAAGAATTAAATTCTGAAGCTTCTGCCCACCAGTAGCCAAGTGATCTTCGTACCCTGAACACTGCGAGTTCGGTGATGGGTTTGCACCTCGTTCAGACGGGCTAACCATGTGGAGTTTTCTCCACATCTGTAATGCCTAAATAGGGGCCAGTTTCCCTTAAAAAGACCTCCAGGAAGGCATTCCCCTAGGCAGATCGCCTAAGTGTTGCATTTCCATAACTAAACTAAACAAACAAACTAAAGCTTCTACTTCTGGAGATGATCAAGATGGAGGTGAATCTCTAACTTTTTCTGATTTATTTGATGAATTAGCTTCTGGTAAACGAAAAAATGAAGAATAGCATGTTTCTAAAAAGAAAGAAAAAACAAAAGAAACGAACTAACATTTTGATCAAGAATTAGAAACATATTTACATTTACCCCTTAAACAAAGACATGGTGACCTATTTTTGTGGTGGAGAAGCTCAAGAACTTTTTCCTAAATTGTAGATTGAATTACTTTAGTTCCTATTTGCATAATCATTTTTGCTTTAGCTATTGTTCGCTATGTAACTTCGGGTAAATTATGTCACTCATAATTGCCGTTTTATAATTTTTAGAACATCATTCTAATTCAGATTTGTTTTATATTCCATCCACATGCTGCTTATAATTTTAAAATTGTTCAAAAGCGTAAAATATGATAGCTGTTGTATTCAATATTTGCCTGATGACAGTAACTTTATGGTACTGAAAGTACTAGTGAACATTCTCATTTTCTAAAAGTTTATTTGGTAATGCCACAACACTTAAGTGTAATTATTATATTACAAGAGTTGGCGTGAAGTGCAAGTTATTTTATTATAGAATTTAATGTAAGCAGAACAACTTTCTTGTTGAAATATCTTGAAAACTTTTGTTAAAAATGTAATGTTTAATTTTACAATTTTTATTTTAAAAATAGCAACATAAGATTTAAACATTGTATTGATTTTATCAATGTCTACTGATAAAAATCAATACAAGGGGTTAACTGAGATAGTTGATAAAATATATTGATTTTTCTAGACTGCAGCTCCTCCAGGATTTTCTAGAGATAAGAACAAAATTTTGTTAACTTGTTGAAACTTGCATGTTATTTTACTTGTAATGAAGAAAGGTTTGTTTGACATCTCATTACTTTGTTAACAACATCAGACAAAACTAACATATTGTATTTATTTTATAGCATAAACAAAAATATTACACATTTTTTTATCTGTGGTTATATCCTTTTTGTTAGCCATTTTATAAGATTCCACACTTGTGGGAATCTTATAAAATGGTTAATTTTACTTAAATTTTTCTTTAAAATTTTACTTAAATTGTTTCTAAAACATTTATATATATATATATATAAAAGTTCTTCAAAAATATTTATATAATAATTAAACAACCAGACTTTCAGACTTTTTTTAAGTTAGAGATAATTTTGTATTTACAGATTTAATCATTTATCACATCTGACATCCTTATTTTATATTACTGAAACTTTTTGGATTATGTATTAACAATTTTTATGTTTAAAATATGTAGTGTTAATTTACTATATTATTCATTTTTACATATTTTAAACATAAAAATTGTTAATACATAATCCAAAAAGTTTCAGTAATATAAAATAAGGATGTCAGATGTGATAAATGATTAAATCTGTAAATACAAAATTATCTCTAACTTAAAAAAAGTCTGAAAGTCTGGTTGTTTAATTATTATATAAATATTTTTGAAGAACTTTTATATATATATAATAAAGATTACATATGTTATGGACAAAGTGATTGATGCGGGCATCAGCATAGCACATACATTAGCATTTGTAAAAATGAAACTTAGTAAAAATATGTAAGATTGTTTAGTAAATGTTTTATGTCGGAAGTCTTTGAATTCCCAATTTATTTATCCTCTTGGATCAAGGCATTGACAAGTCATCAAAATATCAACATTTAAATAAAATGGCAGGAACCTTTTTCCATGTTTTTTTTTTGTATTTCCTATTTTATGAAGATTTTTTTGTATGTATCAATAGTAGATTGCATCTGTTCAGTTTTATGCAAAGGATCTTGTATAACTTATCCCTTCACAGTTCCCAATAAATTAGCATTAATTCTAAGCAATCATTATATTTATATTAATTTTGTTGGTATGCATTACAAATCACAATAGCCTCAATAGGGCTAAATGGCAAAGGGACTTTTGTATATGGGTACTCAACATATGCATATAATTTTTTAAATGGCCTTCTCAAACAGATTTAAATATATCTGTCTTATTTTTGTACTTAGGATGGGCTCTTGAAATTTATTATGTGAAAGTTTCTATTAAAAAAATTATATGTAGTCAAATCTTTTTGCTTCAACATTATTCGTAAATTAAAGACCCATACTGTTTCACTTTTGATAGCCATTTAATTGCTTTCAGATTATATACAGCATGATCATAACTATACACTTTAAAATACGTTGCCTAACAAATAATAATTCTATTGCATATAAAAACATTATAAAACTTTTTATATTTAGTGAAACCAATTTGACTGAATTAAAAAAAATTTGTCTAGAAAATTATCCTATTAATAAAAGTAATAATCCAATAAGGTTTTTTTTGTAAAGATATTAATTGCAAACAATAATTCTGCAATTCTTATCTCTCAAAATATTTTTTATGAATTAATCTTTTAATTATGGATAATTAAATGGAATTTTTTAAAAATAGAATTTTGTTATCCTATTTCATAACTTTTACTTCTATTTCAGGTTGAATTGACAAATATATCTTTCTTGCCAACATCTCAAACTTCAATTGATAAACAAGAGCTGCTTATTACACGTAAGAAATAATTTTGTTCTAAGTGATACATCTTTCTTCCATTAAGTAATATATTGTAGAAATAAAAGTTAATAAAAGCAAACTATTTTATTTCTTTAGGTGACACTTTGGAAATCGGAGCCAGATTGAGCATTGCCACGGCCGACATTCCGTCATTCGAGCGTTACATGGCACAATTGAAATGTTACTATTTTGATTATCAGTAAGTAACATTTGGAAAACAACAAAAGTTAATGTATGTACATAAATTGATGCATTTTAATTTATTTATAGGAATGATGTTCCAGATTCAAATTACAAGTATCATCTTCTGGGTCTGAATCTTCTTCGCTTGTTAGCTCAAAACAGAATGGCTGAATTCCACATGGTAAATTGAAAGTTGCAAATAATTTAAAACTTTATTATTCATAATTTAATTTAGAATTTATCCGAAGGAATTAGAACTTTTGCCGTTTCGTGAGCTCCAAAATATTTACATTCGACATCCCGTATCTCTAGAACAGTATTTGATGGAGGGTAGTTATAATAAGGTAAGAATTTTCTGAATTTTAAAAAAATTTAAATGAAATAGATTAAACTGGATATCACTTTCAGATATTCTTATCGAGAGGAAATGTTCCAGCCAATGACTACAAGTTTTTCATGGACATATTACTGAATACAGTCAGAAATGAGATTGCAAGTTGTATCGAGAAGGCTTACGAACAGTTGGCTTTTACTGAAGCGAGAAGGATGCTGTTTTTTGAAACACAAGACAAAATGGAGGAATATGCTAGAGAGGTAAGCATGTTTGCATTTTTCTCAGATAAAAATTTTGCTAAATATTCATGCAAATTCAACACACACCATTTCAATTATAAAAAGTAAAATGATGTGTATTTGCTGTTTTAAGTTCATTGAAATGGTTATTGTTTAGGGCCTGAAAATGGATTAATTCACTTTCCATTATTTCTAATGATGGAAAATTACTTCAGAGTTCAAATAGCCTCTTGGAAGTACGAGACACAACAACACGGTGCCTCTCTCGCACTTCCAATATACTATTAATACACACAACTGGATCTTAATGCATGTAAGTTCATTGATGTTTCTTGGGTATTTCTGGTACATTTAACTTTAGATCAGTTTTTCAACTTTTTTCTCATCATGTACTGGTAAAATTATGGATAATTTTATCTGGACAAAGTAATTAAATGCAACTATGAATTATGCTTATTTATTAAGTTTATATATGCTTAACTAGAGTTACTGTATGTAACAACTACTATTTAAGTGTCATTTGCAATCAACTGTGCTAGCTTCAGTGTGCAATTCTGTTGGCATCGTTGATCTCCTGCATCCGCCATTTCATTTTCCTGTCTGTTGGTCCTTATTTTTGATATCATTGAATGAGATTGTCCAGATGTTTAGCACTCCAAATCACTTCTTTCCCTTCTTTGTGAAATACATTAATTTTGACCGTGATCCTTTCCATATCCCATTTTTAATGGTAATTACTGTGCATTCTATTGACCCTTTCTTTTCACTTATATATTTATATGCAAATTTCATGATTCTGATCATTAAATTCTTTGTAATTAGTTCCAATTGGTACATGTTCTGTTAATGTTGGACACCCTATTTTTAGCAATAGAAATTTTCACAGTATCAACTATTATTATACAAGTACTTGGAAAAAATTTAACAAAGTGTCTAGGAACTCAGTGATTTGCATGAAAATATTAATAATCTATATTATTGTTGGACAGACTATAATGCCATTTGTATTACAATCACTATGTGATTATTGGCCTAAGATATAAAATTGAATGCGCTTGTTGGGTAACAGTCTGCACTTAACGGATAGTTTATTTTACTGTGGTTCAATCTCTTTCAATAGTGTATTCTTTCTTTGATCTATGGATTCTAGTGTTGTCTAATTACAATTGCTAAAGATAACATAGTGAGCGTGACCTTTCTGAATATCCACACTAGTTTTCCAATACGAAACAGCTATTATTGCTGTTATTCAATACTACAAAATAAAAAATTTCTAATAAAATTTTTTTTTATTGCATTTAATTGTAACCTTATCCCAACTAAAGAGAGTTTATGCAATTTCCTATTTGGGAACTACCAGTCTAGATCAGTGGTGCACAAACTATTTTCATTTCTGATCACTCCCATTTTGTGTAAAATTTTTTCATGACCCCTAGATTGTTGAAGAGAAATTCATGTAGTCTTAGTTAAGCAAAATCCCAAATAGAATTTCATTTTGTGTTTCTGCCTTTAGAGGTCTGAATAAAAAATTAATTTTACTGGTACCTGATACTTGTTGAAGAAAAGCCTTGTCTTTTTTATTTTCAAATAAATTTCTTTGAGTTTGGCAACCCCAAAAAATTTTATTGCAACTTCTCTGGGGGTTGCACACCATTGGTTTAGACCATCGGGGCTTTATCCTTTCCCATTCACTTATCGGCAAAAAATATTTTTTCACATAATGATAGAGCTAGAGAAAAGTAGCAGAAATTTGCATTATATAGCATTAAGAATGCATTAATTGTAATTCCAGCTCTTGCTGGGGTATTAGATATAATTAGTGATCAATAAGTCTGTAGCTTGTTGGCATAACAAAGTCTACACCTGTGTAAACAAAGAATTTTTTCTTAGTGAAAATGTATTTTGTAACCTTTGGTAAAAGTTTGTCATCTTTTACCAGTTCTGTTGATAATTTTGCACGAGCTCTCGTCTCTCTTACATGCTTGCGCACACACGTCATTCTTATCAGATAAGTGTATTCTGAGTGAAACATCTGTGCTTCCTTGGATCATTTACCAGCTCGATTTGGAGTAGAATGAGTAGTTGTGAAAGAGCTGATGTCTCATCTCATTAAATTTTGGTATTGAAATAACAACACTAGAATTATTAATGTGCAACTTAATTTACTGTAGATAGTGTTCCTGGCTTGGCCGCAGAGCCAGTGGAGGTGTATTGTTCAGTTGGAACATGGTTTTGGACATACAACCTATCACACTTATTCTACTTTTTTTCTTTCTATTGTAGAGAGGGTGGAAAATGGACAGAGACAACCGTTTCGTGTTCATCATGGAAGTGAAGCAGTCTGACACGAACATCCCGGCCTCGGAGCTCGCGTCCCAAACTATACAGTACGCCAGAGAGCTAGAGAAGATCGTGTAACGCAAATTTTTTTTATTTCTTACAAATAAAAGTTTTGTTCTAATTTAAATCAAAAAAAAGAAATACAAATGAATTAGACGGGTTTGTAGTCCAGTTTCGACTCTAGTTTCTTGTTGTCTGCCACTTTACGGACGGCCTTCATGAAGTCTTCTTCGATGACATATTCTCGGTCGGCGCGGATGGCAAACATGCCTGGAAAAACAGAATTCAAATTAGACCAAATATTTGCATATGCAAGGAAAAAATGATTATTGTATAGAAAGTGAATAAGCATGGAAAGAATGTTTTTTACAATGACATGTGAAAGTGGATAGTTTTGAAAAAATTTAATGCTTTAATCATCCAGACTAGCTGCATCACAATGGGTGGTATCAAATTATTGTTGTTGAAGCCTTCCAATCCTTGCAAGAGCTGTCAAAGTTCGTTTTCGACCTCCTTAGAGGCTCTGCAAGATAAATCTTTTAAACTTGAGACTCCTTTTAGACACACACACACACACAAAAAAACCAAGCTTGGTCAGGCTGATCTGATTAATATTAGCACGCTCCACAAAAGCAAATCAATTTTAACATTTTATAAATTCTTGAAACCAAGTAGTTGTTCAGGATGCACAATAAATGGATTGAATAGAACAAAACACTTAGGTAACAAAAGTGAAGTCATTGTGCATGTGCATCTGACAAACAGACAGACAAAAGTCATAACATAAGCACTTTGCTTTTTAGCGTGCTCCACTATAGTAGTAAACTAAGCAAGGGACCTCCAGAAAACCTACAAAGAAAAACACTATGGCCGTGAAATGAGGGGACTCAAAGTGGTCGTTGCCACTCTCGGAAGATACACTGCACATAACACAGAACTTTGAACTTTTTACATTCAAAATGACAACTTAGACAAAATACCTTGTCTATGGTTTATCGATCTAGTTCCAACTTATGCCAATATTGATACAACAGTTAGGCATTTTGAAGTTGGTTTACCTTTTGCTTACAGAAAATAATCTCCAAAAAATGACCATAGGTTGTTTTGCATTTCTCGATTTGCTGGCGACCGGGAACAAAACTCTCTGAGTAACAAGAACATGTAGCCCAAAAAATCACTTTTGAACATAGATCAAAAGATAAATGCTCTTTGCCTCTAACTTCATTATTTAAGTGGTTGTGGACATAAAAATTACTATTATTTAACATCTTATAATTATCTTTGATTCAATGGCGACTTCTACCCACTATCATTTTGTTTCCCTTTTACAGCAGTCTTTTATGTCAACAATCCATATTTTAAAGGACTCACGGAAGAGTTTAACATAGTGGTCATTTATTAATGAACGTATTTGTTAAATGGAAAAAGCCTTATTTTTGGGAACGAGAACATTTTTCTTTTTATATTGTAAATGCCTGTAAATGTAGGTAGAAGCATATCTGTCAAATTTTCAAAAAATTTTTCATCCCAAAACATAAAACAAAGTAGAGGTTTGCTCACACAGAATCTCATTCCCATTGTTGATGGTTTTTGAACTGAGAAATGCAAAAACAGCTGATGGGTCAAATTTTGGCACTCTATTTTTCCAGAATTTTAAAGCATCGTAAAGAAAACTTTACATTTTTGGCACCACAAACTACCACCGTGTCGATTTTCCAATCCCTCTGACTCTGTTTTAACGAAGATGACCAAGAAACTAACAGTATTATTATATTTAACATCTCTAAATCACAAGATCTTATTTTGCTTTCTCCATTTTTGAACAAGTTCGAAAGCCAGTGAAATCGACTTTAAAAAAATAAAGCCATTGGTGTGCTGTAACCTAATATAAATGGCCTTTGAGGTTCCAACACTTTACCTTTCAAAAAAAATTAAAAAATTGCAACTCACAATTGAGCGGCCGACAAAAGATTTTTGTGGCTCAAACCTCCAATCTATCATGTGCTTCTAGTTGTCATTAAGGATTTATATTTCTCTTAACAATGTAGTAGTAGAAGTGGTCTTTTTGTAAAAATGTATCTTTTTTTTTTTTTTTTTTGTTTGAAGATCTACAAAACATTGGCCAAAGTGCATCCCCACCTCGCAAAAAACTTTGATTGAGCAATTCCAAAAATAGAAAGAGATTACTCACCGGCTTCCGTACAGACGTTCCTCAGATCTGCGCCGTTAAATCCATCAGAAAGCTTGACGACCGCTTCCCAATCTACAATAGAAATTAATTATGGGGATAATTCAAATCAAAGTCAGTCTCTCATTTTTATGACGTGAGTTGCCACTTACCGACTTCTCCGTGTTTAGTTATGGGCGCCGCATGAATTTTCAAAATTTCCAATCTGGCCTGTTCGTTTGGCAGAGGAATTTCTAGAGGAAGAGGAGAGAAATTTAAAACTGAAAGACTTTACTGCACCACTCTCCCTCAGTCAAAGAAAATGGTAACCCTACCGATTTTTCTGTCCAGTCGTCCGGGTCTGAGAAGTGCCGGATCAAGAGTGTCCGGGCGATTGGTGGCCATGATGATCTTGACCTGACCGAGAGAGTCGAATCCGTCCATCTGATTCAAGAGCTGCCAAAAATTCAAAAATTAGGATCTGCAATTTACTAAATAAGACTGAGTTTGACTTATTTGGGACTTACTTCCATCAACGTTCTTTGGATCTCTCTGTCGGCGGACGTCCCTTCAGAGAAACGGCGACCGCCTACATAAAAAGAACGTATTCAAACAGATTAAAAAAATTAAAATATTTTGGTTTTGTTAAAAATTAATACTCCATTCCATATGTTACCATACCTATAGCATCGATTTCGTCCATAAATATGACACAAGGTTGATGATCTCGTGCATAGTTGAACATTTCTCGAATCAGACGTGCACTCTCACCTATGTATTTATCTACGATGGCGCTTGACACGACCTGGAATGAACAATTTTTTTTTTTTTTTTTTTATTTATATTAACTTAATACACAGATAAGGACATTAGAAACTGCTAATGAATGCTCCATTAATTTGGGGAAAACATAGTTTGATTACTCTATTAAAAACTACCCAGAAATCGTAAAATCACATTTTTATTACCTTAAAAGTAATCCTCTGAATTATTTAAGCATTTAAGACAGGGGGGATAACCCCTCTAACTTCTTTGTCTAACACAAATTGAATGCCTTGTAACACTCACTTCAAATCTCCAAAAATGGTAAAGTTACGAACAAATAAATCTTGAATAAGTGGGGGTGACAAAGAAATTTCCACCCAAATCACTCTACATTAACCCCTAGTTCTATTGACAACATTCAGGGCAAGGATTCTTGCAGAGAAGGATAACTCCACAGAGGTCACACGTTTTGGTCGACCCAATCTATTGTCTTTCAAAGACTCATCTTTCTCAAAAGCATTTACTTCATCCTTACTAGAGATATGCATTTACCATACACTGTATTTATTTGTCTATAAATTTCCTGATTTCTGCAGAAAGCACTCACCTTTAAGAAGTTGGCTTCTATTTGACTAGCCACGGCTCTGGCCAATAAAGTTTTTCCAGTTCCAGGTGGTCCATATAGAAGACAACCCTTTGGCGGCGTAATTCCGACTCTCTGAAACAACTCCGGATTCAGCAACGGAAGTTCTATGACCTGAAACGGCAAATGGTTTTCTTTTGTACAAAAACGGATTTCGGGGAAACAGACGTCGGAACCCTTACCTCTCTCAATTCCCGAATCTGCTCTCCCAAACCGCCGATCATGGAATAGGTGATGTTGCCGGGATCTTCGTGGGACATGTTGTACACGAGCGGGTCGACTTCTCGCGGCAGATATCTAAAATGGAAACGGCACCGCCGTAAATGTTCACGTCGGAACCAAAACTTAAAAGTAAAATTGCTCCCGAAAGAAACGACGGGGTCACCTCATGATGGTCAGAGTGGTCATGTCGAGCGCCACGCGCGTGCCCGGCTTCAGTTTGCTCTTGTCGAGTTGACGTCGGCAGCCCACTACGTAGCGCGGTCCATTGGTGGCCTTCACGATAACTGCGAACAAAAATAAGACACTTTAGCAATGTTTAAAATATAATTTTCTAATAGAAATTTGACTACGGACGGCCTTACACTTTTCTTCGGTCAACTGTTTAAGTACCTCACCCACTATCTGAAATACAAACGTTTAACAAAAGTTCAGATTTATATATATATATATAGATTTTTTTTTTGTTAAGAAAATAAAAATTAGTAAAGCATTGTGATATACGATGTCTACAAGAAATAATTGATTGGAAGGATAAATTAATTGTAAACAAATCTAATGTTAGTATACCTGAAAATTTAAAAGAATTACATTATAATCCAAAATCTAAAATTGCAGTGGAATTAGAATATATGATAATATTGATGGAATAGAAAAAAACTGAAGTTTGAAATAAAATTCAGAATATTGTAAAAAATCTTAATGAGAGTATAAATCATAGAATATACTTTACTAAGCATGAAAAAGATATGGAAAATTTACAAGGTTTTTATTAAAAAAATAACAATTTAGTAGTTTTAAAAGCTGATAAATCAAAACAGAGCATAATACTGAATACTTGAGATTATAATTTAACATTATATAGCATTCTAGAAGATGATTTATATGATGAATTAACAGCCGATCCCACAGATTTAAAAAGTAACAAATAATTCTTCAAAGGTGTAAAAATAGAAAATAATTTTAAAATGTTATCATTAGATGTCAAAAATATGTATCCCTCCATTAAAGTTAATAGAATGATAAATTTCCTGATCAAGATTGGATTATTGATTTGATACAAATTATATTAATAAATAATTACTTCCAATTCGATGGTAAATTTTACACCCAAACAAGTGGTATACCAATCCTATCGCTTCTGCCAATATCGGTCTTATAACCGATATTGGCAGAAGCGAGTACGATCGATGTCGACACACCTATAAATAATATAAAAGGTATAAAATTCTATAGCAGGTACACAGACAATTGTTTCGTTCTGTATAATAGTGACAAAATTAATCTTAAAAGTTTATTGAATATTGTTAATAATTTATATAGTAACTTGAAGTTTGATATAGAGGGAGAACAAAATAATAAATCGTCTTTTTAGACGTGTTGACATTAAGAGAACATCAACAAGTTAATTTGGGAAGAGTACAAAAGTATAAAAAATTGTGTAGTAACGTCAGTAAAGTGACCAATTATTTTTATTCCCCGATTTATATTAAAAAAAATATATTTTTGTAACCGTATAAGAAAGATTGCAAATAGAACTACATTGGAACATGATAAAAAGAATGAAATTATCAATGTTATTAAAATGTTTTTATTAAATAATTACCCAAGGAGACTTCTTGAAAACTGGCAGAGGCATGCATATATTTGAAAAAACTAATAATTATTAACTTCTTTGCTATTATTATTATTAAAGTTTGGTAAAATATTTTAAATTGACGTACGTCAAAAACACATTCAAAAAACTAAAAAATGATTTAAAATTCAATATAGTATGGAATAAATGTAACAAAATACAAAAACATATTGTTGTTAATAAAGTAGAAAAGAATACAAATGATTTAGATAAAAGTAATGCAGTTTATAGATTTAACTGTAGTTGTTCTGAAAAAATGATATATATAGGAGAAACAAAAATAAGTTTAAAAGTACAGGTGAAAGAACATATAAATGCAATAAAATGTAATACACATAATTCCACCATAGCTAAACATTCAATAAAGACAATAAAATATGAAACTAATACTAAAAAAAGGAAATATTATGAACATATAGAAATTTTAAAAATTAAATCAGAAAAAAGAATTAATGATAATTTAAGAATAAAATTAGATGCGGGTGGTACGATTTTGTCGATAAAAACAAAAATTAATAATTAATGACGAAATAGAGGGCGACACTCGAGACGTATAATTTACAAATTAGCCATACGGTAATGCATAGTATTTTGGTCGTGCAGTAAGATGTTTTGATTAGATCAACCAAAGTGTTTATCATGAATATACAGGGTGAGGTATAAGTACAGTGACCATACGTCCTTTATTTAAGAGGACAGTCCTTTATTTCACTGCTCTGTCCTTTAACTTTATTTAAGAGGACAGTCCTTTATTTCACTGCTCTGTCCTTTAACTTTATTTATTTTCTAAAATAGGCATTTTGTCCTTTATTTTGTAAAGTTGACGCAAAGTTTAAAAAAAATTTTTTTAATAATATATTGAACAAGTTAGTTTTGTAAATGCCATCACGACCAGTGTTGCATTGCTATATAGAGCGCAGTAGTGCAGTGTATCGACAACCAAACGGCCCACTAACAGACAGTACCAGGGGGTGGACACTCTTATGGGGATTTTTGTGATAGTTTTTTAACTCTCTAGTTGATGGATGATACACTTGTTAATTAAAGCTGAAGTTAGTTGAAAGAAAAAATGAGGGGTTTCTTCCTATTGTTATTAGAAAAGTGGTTTTAGCATTAGAAAAATCAGAAAATATACAAGCCAAAAAATTCAATGATGCTGTGTACACATTTTATCAAACGTGCATAGATTATCTAAATAATTGGGACATGTTTTTTATTGAAATAGATGTGTTTGAATGGGTCACATTATGCGAAATCTCTTTGTGGGCGAAAGTAGAGGAAAGCTATATCTTTATTTCGAATCATTGGTCCGTAAATATACTCGACGGTGAATTATTTGATGAAGTTTCATGTGTAAAAAAATATGTCACAAACGAAAAGATCGACGAATGGTGACAGAATAACCAGCCCTGCCATCAAAGGTGGATTGAGATTTTTGAATATTTTACAGCAAAAGAAATTGTTTTCAAAAACATTTGTAAAATCGTATAATTTTCTTTGTCTCCCTGGATCTAATGCCCCTGTTGAACAAATATTTTCATTGGTGAATAATATGTGAACGAATGAAAAAACTGATTTAAAAGTAAGCACATTAGAAGCATGTATTTCCATCAAATACAACTTTCAAATGAACTGTATCGGGACATTCCAATTTTCAACGCGAGTGTTGAGTGTTGAAGTCAACAATTTGGCGTCACCAACGACGTTCCAACTTGAGTACGAAGTGCTTAGTTCCCATGATTCCATTCTCAGCAAGATGGGTTCCATTCAAATGTCTTACCAATTACCCACAATTCATTGGAAAGTAGCGGTCAACATATCTGTTGAGTGCTGAGTGTGTTGAGTCAGCGCTGACAACAGCACTACCTCAACGTTGAAAAAAGGAACGAATTTTAACGAATGTTGAGATCAGCGCTGAGTCAGCGTTGAAAATTGGAATGTCCCGTATGGAATTTTATGACTTTAAAGCGTGAAACGGCGCTATAAAAAATTAATTCTACTGAAAAGTATCAAAATTAATGTTATTTAAATTTTTACAATGTGTGTATGTGTAATAATTCAGATTGTTTAAAATTTTAATGTATGCATTGTTGTATGCTACTATTTTCGTAATAAATGTTATAAAGTTGTGAATTTTATAAGGTATTTTTTGATTTTCTTCGATATGTCCTTTATTTTCCCCCCAAAAATATGGTCACTGTAGGTATAAGTAACACCCTTTTGAAATTTTAAAAAATTCTAAATTTTATTGAACAAAAATTACATAAATACAAGAATAAAAAATACAATGATTTAATATTAATGGACATGCTCAAAATGTTCCCCTTCATATTCAATACAATGCTGAACTCTACTAGCAACACTTCTACAAACTTTTAGACATGTTTCCATGGTAATTACAGAAAATTTCTCTGCAATTACTTGTTTTAATTCAGGAATTGTTTTTGGTTTGAGGCTGTAAACCTGATCCTCCAATACACCCCACAAAAAAAAGTCCGGTGGTGTTAGGTCTGGTGATCGTGATGGCCGCTCGATAGATCCTCATCGTCTTATCCATCTCTCCTCAAAATTTTGATTTAACCATTCCCAAACTCTTAACCCATAATGGAATGGCATCCCATCCTGTTGAAAGTAAACATTATTTTGATTTTCGACTCTTGGCCAGAATTCCGTTTGCAGTAGAAACTAATAGAAATTAAAAAGGATGTTACTTATGCCCCACCCAGTATATATCCATTGCTTTACACTTATATTATAATTATAATTATAAAAATAGTCACTTTTGGTAAATTGTATTAGCATTCCCAAGGCTAAATGGAAAACTAGAGTTTACGAATAATTTTTGCAATAAAGTCAAAAAATAAAAAAGCAGCATCTTTTCTGTGTGTTTGTCTCTTAAGATCGAAAAGCAATGCTTGCGATCAACCGAACATTCCTTAAATTTTCTCATTTCCTCATATAATTATTATTATTTCTAAGTTTTATTAACCTAGAAATTAAACATATATTTGGAATTTTAGTATCACGATATTAAAAGATATTACTACTTTCTATATTTGGTTATTGAAAACCAAACATAAAATGTATCTTTTGTTTTATTTCTGCAAATAAAAATGGCCATTTTTATCGTTATCGTACGGCATCATTCTCGCATAGTAACAGCAGAGACAAGTCAAAGCCATAAAACAAACAAATAATGCACATACAAACTTCAAATAGTCGACAAATCTTCGACAAAATTCCGTTGACGTGCAATTTAAAAGAAACACTTTGAGCAAATGTTTTATAATTTTGTAATAGAGTAAGAGGGATATATAACAAAATCAAATTTTAAATTTATGCATTTCACCACAACGAGACTGAAGTAACGTGTTATTGTCAGCGACGGTAGAATTTTCAAATGATTTAGACCGGAAGATCGGAACAGATTTTTATCGACGACTCCAGACAGAATCATAAGAAATTCTTTTAAAAGTACAGAAACACCACCTTAACCGTGCAGCCGTCGACAATAAAATATTACGTACGTACACACGACGATCGTCTAATTTGCCGGCTGACCCCGTCGGGAAGACCTGTTCTAGTCGGTGGCGGCACAGTTCCGGTAGGAAAAAACACCGCACGGGAGCATTTTAATCATAAATTACACAAGAAGGAGGACAAAGACTATAGTTTTAAAGACAAAAGAATGACATCCGTAAAAATAACCGAATCGGTTCGACGGGGTTCCATTCGTAAACGGACCATTCCAAATATATCAAACATACCCAAAAAAATCACACGTTAATCCAATCTGTTAATACAGGACATTTGGTAGGAGTTACCATTAGGTAACATTATATATATACATACATACACACTTAAATTACTTAAAAGTACCCTATAATTTTTCTCTAGACGCGTCTTTTATGGATACAAATGCAGCTCCAAACGAGACAGTCGAGACCTTACCAGAGCCCGGGACCATTTTGTTGGTCTAGAGTGGTCTAAAATTTGGGGTCCAACCCTCATTCGGAACTGCAATTTTACCCTTTAACTATTCGTAGCCAGTTCATAACCTATATTTAATTAAATAATTAATAAATTCTCAGCATATATTCGTTGGTTTGGCGAAATAATTTATTAATCATCCGTAATTTAAGTTAAAGGTTAATTTGAGGAGAAAAATGAAGAGGAATCTCACCTGTCCAACACTCTGCAAGGCTTTCAGATCGTTCTCCGACTTCTCGTATTGTTTATTCGACTCTTTCAGTTGTTCTCTCACTGCGTGTAAAATAACATTACTTTTAAACCGACGTCGACGTAATGAAGTTTAGGCTTATTTCGCGGTGCAATGACTCAGCCGTTTACGCTTAAAAAACCGTAAAAATGGAAATTAATAAAGAAATCTTACTCTCTCTCAGACGACTTTCGATCTCTCGATACTCTAAAAGTTTCTTTCTGTATTCCTGAATCGATCTTTCCCGAGTATTATCGGTATTATTTCTATCGCTGACGGTAGTCATCTTGCCTCTTTCAAAATGGCCGATTCGCTAATGTTTGTTTTCGCCTTTTCGCCGGTAGGTGGCATCGAGTACCAAATCTTAGTTCCGAATTACGCCGCTACGGCCAACGGCGGCATTCGTCGTAGTTACGAGTTTTCTCATTTGTTTATCGTACTGTCGACGTTGTTGAACTCGTTATACGTTAAATAAAATGGAATGTAGCGAGTGTGGTTTAAATATATACTTATAAATAATATATAAATTTATATAATTTATCAAATTTCTATTTATTAAAATATATTTAGTGTTACACGTAACATATAAAATTCATACAGGATAAATTCATATATTGCAAGAATGCTATTATTCCTCGACAACGATCAAATGAACAAAAGTAATGAACACAAAATGCTAAAGTTTAAAATTATCACATCGAAAAATCACCGGTAAAATCATCATGATCAGAATCTTCCTCACTAGGTTGAAGCGGATGACGGTTTCCAAGCGTAACATTTTACCGTTGTTGCTTTTAAGTAGCTCCTTTGCTAATAACAGTGCTTCGCAGGAATCGGTAAGAACTCGATTTTGTAGTTTAGTTTTTATTAAATTTAATACGTTCAACCGCTGCACTCGAATGAGGAAGCAATAAAAACATCTATTTACTGCCAAAGTAAAGAAAAACAATATAGAACTATAGAATAAAAATTAATGTTCTGAAAGATACTAAATTGAAAGGAAAGGTATTAGGACTTCATGAATAGTACTATAAAAGTGGTATTGGTATCTTGGTGTTGGAACAAGTAAAAAGGTACTAGATTAGCACAAAAGTATTAGGTGGAACAAAACTGGTGCCGCCTTTGTAGCCCCCGATTCTGTTACCCGGCGTCGCCGCTAGAGGCGCCTCTAGCGGCCGACCGTTCCACTAGCCGTCGAATAAAATCGATTTATTTTTCGGAAACGGAACAAAATTAATTTGACTATATTTTTTCGGGATACAAAAGCAAAGTATGTATTTTAAAGAAAATGTCTTATAAATCGATTAATAATATAATTTATTTTCGTTTTAATGCGATCTAAAACACTATTGAATAGTAAAATTTTAAAAAATAATAAAATTGGAATCAACTAGTTAGGCCTTATCAACGTTCTATTTTTCAAATTAGTGCCATTTTGTTTCGATTGATCTTTCGTGGAATGTTATATACTGTATTTATAATTATAACAGCAAATATTTGTATAAATAGTGATTTTATTGTAATTAACACGTTGATTACAGATAGAGGGTAAACGTTTATCGGTTAATCTTTACCTATGTGCACCGTCATGATGGCGGGACGCACGTTCTAACCTAACCTAACCTATTCTAATTAATTCCCAAAATTACTAATGTAAAAAAAAGGTTAATGTTACCTATGGTTCCAAAATGGCGGCGCTTCCGACTGTTCGTGGTCCCGACGGATTCCTCCCGGAGGGGAGCCGCCGAGTGCCAAACGTCACTAGTCATTCACTAGTGATTCACGTCACTAGTGATTCACGGTAGTTCTTGAACAAAAAAAAAAGGAAACGTCTACTAAAAATGTAATTAATCTAACGGAAACTAGATGTACCTAACCGAAGCACGGCCATTTTGGCACCATAAGTATATTTAACAGTTAATTTAAATGTTTGAAATATGACACACGATAGGGGCGCTTCGAGTGCCCGTTTTTCGCATAACATTACACTCACGGACGGACGGACACGCGTTCAATGGGTTATCTATATACTGTATATAAGCCATTGTCGCGTCTATAATGTTATCCATTGCCTAAAACGCCCACTAGGGGCGCCCTAGCGATGATTTTAAATTAACAATAAATTATATTTATTTGTAATAGGAATTTATTATTTATACCACGGAATGGTATAAATAATTATTATATGCCTTGCCTTGCTTTATTATAACATTTTTAGAATTTCATTTTACAAATCTTAATGCAATTCTTTCTTTATCAAGTTACACAACAAGAAGCTAATATGTGGCAAGACCGCTCGAATTTAAATTGCGAGAGATCCAGAATCGAATCCGACCTCGATCTTCGTACAGTAATTTATCACGAGAATATATAATCCCTACTTATTGTTTTCAATCCTTCGTTCGTGTTTAGGCTATTTAACGTAAAGAGAAAGTAGAACCTATTCTTTTCCTCGTAGTTTTTTCGGTACTGGCGAAGCATTCTAGATAGAAAAATACAGTCTAAGTCGCGTTCGGGTTGTGGAACTAGTGAGTCCGGGTGTGCACCGAGTCGTTTATGCGGTAGATGTTCGCTAGCGAAAGCGAAAACAATGTAAAAAAAACTATTCATTTTCTCAAAGCGAAATTAATTCTCGTCGCCATTAAAAAAAAAAAAAAAAAAAAAAAAGGGAATAGAACGAAGCGAGCAATCGCGCGAATCCCGGCGAACGTTAGTAAAACAATGTTGCGGCCGATAACAGGATTTTTTTTATTATGTTTACTTCCTCCATTTACTTATTAAATAGAAATTCTAAGATTCATTATAGTCGTTGTAAGAATATAATTAATTAAAAGATACGCTAGATTTTTCGTATCCGCCATGTTTTTATCTCTCTTTCTTATATCCAGAATCTCGCCGTTCCAATAACTGTATTTATTTTTTTATTGTAGATCTTATTATTTGATAAATAAGTTAGAAATGAAACAGTCGGATAACTTTTGTTCTTAGTTTCGATTTGGTTAGCAAAATGTCGTAAATAAATCATATCGTGTGTAATCAAAACGAAACTTTGTATGGCCAAACTAGGACCAGGCTGGTACAGTAGAACCTCGAAAACGCGGCCTAATGTGGACCGAAGGGTGGCCGAGTTTGTGAAAATGCCGGGTTATCGGGAATGGGGTTTAAAAAAATAAGTACGAGTGTTTCCTCAGAAAATACTGTACTGTACTTGTATGTATTGTTTATTTGAGAATATAACAGAGAATAAACTGCCCAAATACCCTTAAACAAAGGAAAAGTACAGTATGTCCTTTATGAAGGCATAGAGCCTTTACTACATGGAAATGAAAATTAATGAATACACTGTGTACAGTAATTTACCTGATAAGACAGACCTCAGAAAAATACTTTATGAGGCATAAAGCTGTCTATAATGAAAATTAATTAACTAAGGATTTTTTTGCCCTGCCAGGGTGTGGCCGAGTTATCTGGAGTGCCGGGTTATCGAGAGCCGAGTTTTCGAGGTTCTACTGTATTAAGTAAACGTTAAATTAAACCTTTAATTAATATCATCAACATCAAATTAAACGTTAAATTCCCAAATTATTTTCGTGCTTACCGGTGGCCGAGTGGTAAAAGCACCTGAGCCGGTCGTGAGTTCGCGCCTAGCCAACGGACCGAACACGAGAAAGTTTTTCGAGTTTTCTTCACGTTTGTAACACCTAAATAGAGGCGTTTCCCGTAGGAAGTCTCCCCGGAAAGCGTCTCCATCGGCAGTCGTCCACGCGTGACGTTGCCGCCTACAAACAATGACATAACTACTGCACTCTAAATTCTTTTTCTCGCCCTCATCAGAACTTATCGAAAATCTAAATTGGATTTTCTGTCCGTCTATCTCGAAAGCTACACAAATTAATTTTTAGTCTAAAATATTTAATCAAATTACTTTAATTACAGTGGAAACTCGACGAAACCCTGGTCTTCGAGAAACTCGTTTGCTTTGTGGTTACGTCCATCACGCTGTTTTAAAGTTTAAACATCATCATCATCTCGTCCTTCATCTGTTCCAGCATACTTTTGCTGGATAAGGAGAGCAAATCTTTTTCATTCCTTCCCTTCCTATGACAAAATCGTTCCCACTCTTCCCTTTATTACGCCTTCCTCAATCTGATTTGTTCACTCCTTTAGTTTTGTACACTATAGATACTATGATTAATGTATCTGTATTAATTTTTTCAAAATCTGACGTAATGTTACGTATACGACCTAGTTTCGCGGCGCTACAATCGATTGATGACGTAGTAATTTTGTTACGTAACGTGTATCATACTCTGGTACACTTTTTTTAAAATTCTTCCGGTTATTCGAGTTTCTACCGCATACAGTAACAAATAAATAAATATATTTTACCTGATATCACCCGCGACTGTTGGCTTTGAAGCTTATTTTTGCATTGGTAGAAAACTTAAATATCCCGAAGTATTTGAATCACTGCAGCCCTTTTTCCTCTTCTCGATGCTAAATATTAATTTGATCGGACTCGACGAACTTCCATCCAAAATGCTGATCGATCTGTTCAAAAACACGTCAACGTCACTAAAGGAACAGAACACTCCCAAATTACTTAATTACAATTTGTCAGTATAGGTTAACGTCGTCGTCACCTAACGAAATTAAGAACGGATTCGATCCGTACTTGTCGCAATTTTCACGTTTAAAACGATGTAATATTTATCCTAGTTAATAAATGAACGAGATAACTGAAAAAACTGACAATTTATTATCACATATACTACCAAAATCACATAAATTGCATTTATAAACCACATAACAGATTCGAACTAAATGATGCACTTTGACATTTATCGCTTGGAATATTGATGCTTAAAATTTCTAAGCAGATTTCGATGGCATGACTAGTCACAAAATGATAAGACTTTCACAATGTAAAAAGATTATATAAAAAAATCCTCGTATAAAATTGCAAATAACAATATAAATTTTGTTAAACAATAAATATATTAAAGCACACTTAGACATAACACGTTAATATACGTGGTCCAAAATAAAATACTGCGTGGATAGATACCGAAAAATGGCAGTGTTACGAGTATTATAAAAAATGTTTCGTGTGGTTCCAATTAAAAAAGATAAAGGTTTTCGGTTTTATAAATATAATGCGTGATTCTTTTTTTTTTTCGTTTCTTAAAGATTCGTTTTCGAATTCGAATCTTAAAATTGCTGACCGTGGAGCGGTGCGTAAACTCTAAAGACCGGTTTCGGTCGCAAGCACCAATTGCATTTCGGAACGGTGGCCGTGGCGCGGTACAAAACAAGTAAAAAGATAAAAATGGCGAAAAAATAAGAGCGGTCGCCGGACTCGTATCACACGTGACTGTCGACGTTCGTCTGTCCGATTCGCATGGCAATGTCACTAAACGACGGTCTCTCTTTGGGGTTGCAAAGCCAACATTTCTGCAATATTTCTACCAGGGATTCCGGTGTGTTGGCGGGCGGTAACAACGTCAGTTCCCGTTGTTTGAGCGACTGCAATATCGATTCGTCGGTTTTGTCGGAAAACGGAAGATTGGCCTGGGTCAAGACTTCCCACACCAGAACGGCGAACGACCAGACGTCGCTTTTGGTGGACCATTCGTCTTCCAGCGCGGCTTCGGCGGAAGTCCATCGTAAAGGTATTACTTTATTTTGGTATTTGAAGTATTCTTGAGCGTACGTGTCCTTAGACAGACTCGGCGAACTGATTTTTACGTTGAGCCGCGACGAGACGAGGCAATTGCGAGTTGCAATGTCTTTGTGAACGAAACGATGATTAGATAAATATTCCATACCCAGCGACACTTGGTGACAGATGCCGATTATTTGGGCGGTCGAAAGAGGCGGAGGTTTCGGACCTTTCCTGGAACTGTCTTTTCGAGTGGCCAGCAAGAACTGTTTCAAGTCACCCTAAAAATACAAGAAATACGTTTATAGACCACCTCCGACTTTCTTAGTAAGCTAAGCCACGTAAAAATATCGAAGTTAAATAACGGCTTGACTCGTTACCGTTGTTTATTTTTTATTATTAGTACTAATCTATAGATGCAGTCCATATATTACCGCAGATAAGCTTGCCAGAAAATTTTTATTTTGAAGTATTACTAAATTTTCATACTAAAATTTATTTATTCCAGATATATTTCTTCATTTTTGAACATTGCAGTTCAATGATGACAGCATAAAAATCTTACAGGATGAACATGATCTGTATAAAAGAATATTTAAGGAACGTGTCTATCATATGTATGGTGTACAACCCATACGTTGAACAGAAAGTCTAGCATAAAAATTAATGAGAATTAAAACAAATTACTTTTGTTTTGTTTGTTATCACGTACAATATTAATGAAATTAAAAAGCTTTTTTAAAAATTAATAGGATTTTCCACTTTTATAGAAGATGCTTGCTTGTATTAATTAGAATAAATATTTAAAGTGCATGAAACAGTCTAATGAAGTTTAAAATATATGATTTAAAATTAACTAAAATTAACCCAATTTTTTTGAAAATGCGTTGGGTGAATTGAAAACGTATTAGGCAACTACCTTGTTTTAGATTATTTTAAGAAAGCTTTAGGTATTGATAGGATCTGTACAAACTTGCTGTAAAACTTAAGGTATGTTTTGCTTAAAATTTATATTAAAATTAACATAATTATTATATAATCACATTGTGATACAAATGTATACTGAGAAATAGATTTGCATGAAATGTACTAATACTTGAAAATTAAGGGATTTCGGCAAGCTTGTCCTCTGTAATACTGTAATATATGATCTATATCTACTTGTATATGGTTAATATTAATACATATTTAAGTTATTTTAAAACAGTATCATTAAATATCTACCCAATCGCTATATTCTGTAATGGCAAGAAATGGTTCGGATTCTTTGCAAACTCCTATCAGTTTCACAATATTTTCGTGTTGCAATTTGTTAAACATATCTAATTCTCTCTTGAATTCAAAATGACTATTTTCGTCACGAGTCTGCAATGCTTTAACCATAACGATAGATTCCTGTTCGCTATTAGAAGCATTCTGAGTTTTTGCCAAGAAAACTTCGCCAAATTCTCCGTGTCCTATAATAATGATAATAACTAAAATTTAACTAAACTTCTAAAGAAAAATAAATTTGGAAATTAATATTATGAAAATACAAACCAAGTAACATCATTGTCTGCAATTCACTTCTTGGTATATTTAATTTATCATATGAAGATCTGTTACGTTTTGATTGATTAGAATGAGAACCAGAGCTATGAGAATGCATCTCACCGTCACTTTTTGGCACATCGTTATCTTTATATTCACGAGGTTTGGAAGCATCGGTTCTATCCTTCATTTCGGTATCTGCTGGAATGTCTCCATTTTCTGATTTTGCAACTGAAAAATAATAGCATAGTTACTCAGTCAAACTGTGAATTATAAGCTGTTTGCATTAGCAACTTAACATCTTATCAGACATTAGTAAACATTTTTTAGAAAGTATATAACGTAGTTTAAAATAATTTTGTATTTATTTGAAATATATGATTGACAATGAAAAAATTTAAATTAAAAAAAAATGAATACAGATAACATAAAAATTACCTTCTGCAGTTGCTTGAGCTAAAAGCATTGCTTTACGTCTTATTCTCCGATACCTACACCAAATCATAAGGCCTAAAACGAGAATCATATAAACTGCGGCAGCTCCCAGAGTAATTGCAACTGTTTTCGCCATTGTGTTTTCTGCTTGATCTTCCTTTCCTAACAGATTGGGATTGTAATATTCTGCACCTATGAATAATGTAATAATTGTCAAACAAACAACGTATGCATTTATTTATATCAAACTTTAGTTTAAATTATGATCTTTATAAAATATAATGACAAACAAATACATATATTTATTGTAAAAATTCTTATTTTATAAACTTTTTAAATTACATTTTGTCTTTTTCTTGAACTAAACAATATCAAAATTTCAATATTTTGGAATATATAAATGCTTTAAAAATGTACAAAAAGATTCTAGTTGAAATAAAATAAAGTAAAACAGTTGTGATATAAATATTTTAAAAATATACTGCAGCTATTTATTATTGGATTGAGTCATAAATAAGTCTGGTTTTCTAAACTGAAATTTATTTGCCAATAAAATGTACAACAATCAACTTTAATCTAATGCATATTCACTGTCATTACTGATGACTTTTTGCCATTTCTTGGACAACCTGTCAATCCCCCTCACATAAAATTCTGGTAATTTTGAAACAAAAAAACTCCTGAACCTGGTCATCATTTTGGAAAGCATTCTGCAGTTGTAAAGCATTGCCCTTGTAAAGCATTCTGCAGTGCCCAAAGAAAATGAAATTCTGTTGGTGCCAGGTCCAGTGAATATGGTGTATGAGGCAAAACAGACCAGCCAAACTCCAAAATTTTTTATTGTGTAATCTTTGTTGTGTATGACCTTGTATTGTCATGCAATAAGGTGATTTTTTTCTGTTAAAAAGTGTTGGATGCTTTTCTTGAATCTTTAGCTGAATCTGTTCTAACTGTTGAATGTACAGTAGACTCCCTATAATTACGATTCCTATAAGGCGAAAAAATTGCGACGGTATCCATACAAACCTGTAAAAAAACTCCTATAATTCAGTAAAACGTCATCAGGCAGCTGAACTACTTTCCGCCGTCCAGCGCCACGCTATGGAGAATTTAGGCGGGTAAATTGAGTTTACTATCGTCTGTACAGTATTATATATTAATTATATATAAATTAGGTACTGTATGTATAATTATATATTAACTTAATTTATTGTAACTTTACTATAATTATATATATACTTTCCGCCGTCCAGCGCCACGCTATGGAGAGTTTAGACGAGTAAGTTGCTTACTATCGTCTGTACAGTATGTAAATTAGGTACCGTAAGTCTAATACAGTGCTGTAATTTTATACATTTCTTGTGAAAGAAACATTTCTTATTCAATGGCGATTAAAATTATTTATATTAATGATGTCTCCAAAGTTCAACAAAGTTTTTGCAGAAAAATAAGTTATTAGAAATCGGGCGCTGTTTGCTGAGCTGTTCCGCGATGAAAACAAGCTTGAACAATGGCGATGCCGAATGGTGCACACTTGATAAATAATCCTACAATTTTTTGTTTATAGCATAGTTTATACGGATTATTCCCAAAAAAATTATACAAATTTTGGAAATGTTGAGTCGAATTAGTCTAGAATCTATTAATTTTATGGAAGAAAACCTTTCAAACAGCCGTAGTCCATAAACTTCACATGTGTTGGGCTGTGATTGGCAAGGACTCATACAAAATTGATTCATAAAGAACGGAACGTATCTACCGTGTTATAGGGGGGTCGACTGTATACATTTACAGTAACAGTTTCTTTGTGTGGCAACAATAATTCCTTGATGATTCCACCATACAAATAAAATTTTTCTTCCATGCACACTGGGCTTAGTGTCCAGTTGAGGCTAATCATCTTTGTCAACCCATTGTCTTCTTTGACTGATATTTTCATGATCCACTTTTCATTTCCTGTAACAATTTTAGCCAAAAATGTTCCTGTTTATGCCGAGAAAACAAAATAGCAGCTATCAACCTTCTATCAGCTTTATTCTGTTCACTAAGGTTATTTTGCCCAAATTCCCAGATTGCTCGCTTTTCCTAGTTTTTGGAAGTGACAATTGATGGTTGATTGGGATGTGTGCAGCTTCTCTGCTAACTCTCCCATTGTTTGCCATGGGTTCTGCTCAGTCAGGACCTTTAAATTGTCATCATCAAAGTCTGAAAGGCGGCCTGGTCTTTCTTCATCTTTTACAGACAAGTCACCAGAATGGAATTTTGTGAACCACTTTTGAACTGCTCTGTCTGAAATTACTCCTTACTCCAGTGCTATAAACATTGCAAATCTTTCTTGCCATTTCTGTAGTGTTATTACTGAGTTTAAACTCCCACAACAGGAAATGGCATATCTGCACTTTCAAATGTTTCATTTTAAATGAATTCAAAAACAAAATTTTATTACATTATTGACACTTTAGTGTTAAAATTTACATTTAGAGACTATTTGCTAATAAAACTCAAATGAAGGGACACATCATCTTGCAAGTATTTGACAGTCATTTATACCTATCGGTAAACCGAACTTAGTTATGACTCAACCCAATATATAAATTTTATGTTTTGAGCATACATAAGAAAGATTTTTTATAAGAAAATTAATAATACAAATATTCTTTGACTCATTGTTGAATTTCTGTAAGTTCTCATCTTAATACTTTAGTAAAATAATGCACAAATAAATATGTTACAGTTCAAGCACAAAAAAAGCAATTTGTATGACTGATTGAAAATATCAATACAGTTGTCCTTTGATAATCTGACAGGTATGGGTCCAAAGGGGTGTCGGATTACCAAAAGTGTCTGGATTACTGAAAGTGATTACATATTTGGCATTGTTTTGCTAGCAGTAGCCTACAATATTCCCTACTCCAACTGTTCGGAGAGAACTGCTCACAGAAAACAAAAAAAATGTGTGTCATCATGTAAGAATTGGGTGGGGAGATTCATGTCGGACATACTTCTGTGCAAGCAGACATGTAATGGAGACGGGGACTATGGTGACCTTGATGGGAGGTGCGTCAGACTACCGAGCATGTCTGATTACAAAATGTCGGACTATCAAGGGACAACTGTAATATTTATCATATGATGATGGTTATTGGTATTGTTATTCAAAAAAAAATATAAAAAAAAATGGTAAAAGAGTATATCCAATTTCTGAAAATGTTTCAAAATTATTGTAACAAGCTTTATAGTAAATTTTAGCATTGGAACCATTTTCATCTTGTTGTAAGGCACAGTTTTCATTATATTTCAAAAAACTGGGTACTTAATTATATAGCACTCACCAAATAAACCATCACCAGTTCATAACCAAACAGTTTTCATTCTTGGTTTTGTTCTAAAATTTAAAACTTTTTAAATATCAAATCATTAGTTTTCTAGTGGATGTTATTTTCAAAACTTACAAAATCACATTGCTTAAGAAAATTCATAAACTGGTTTTAAGCTATAAGAAACTTCAAAACACAATACTTAAAAACAAACAAACAACTCAATTTCAACATATATTGTATGATAAATAGCAAAATTATGAAGAAAGGAAAGATTCATGAAAAGTCTAATTTGAGATTGATAACAAATTATTATATCAAATCCAATTTTGGAATTGAAATATTTATTGCACTAATATTATTGTGTTTAATGTTAAATTTATCATTATGTTATACAATATACAAATTAAAATGCATATATGGTATATCTAGCTAAAACTAAAAAAAAATTTAGACAGTGTCTAAAAAATTCATATAAAATGTAATTATAATTTACAATAATAGTGCCAAATTTTGTGTACTTTCATGATGATAATTCAGATCTGAAGCTGAGACTAAAGGCACTTAATTTATAAATATTTTTGACTCCTTTAACTTTCAAGCACTTGTTCTTGGGCTTTATTATGAAATACAGTATATTGAAACTATTTAGTGAGATATAAAATTTTCATATTTCTGATAGTAACTACATCAAAAATTATTTAAAATTATAGTGGCTACGCAAATATCAATTTTCATACTCTATACATTCAATTTACAATTTACTATACAATTTACAAGTACTGTATATTATATTGATACATATTGTAAAACCTGCAGTCACAACCACCTCGCGAGAGATCAATATAATTAATTCTGTTTATGAAAATAAACAGAATTAACTATACCTTTACTTTAAAATTAAACCTCTCTAACATGACCAGTTAATTGAAAGAAACCCTCCAACCATGACCACTTTTAACTTATCAGCTTTGGGATTTCCTATTCTATTGTAAAAAATTAATAGTTAATTGGTTACCTACTTGACTGCATTTTAATAATTATTATTATTTACTCTTAAGTTGTAGTTTTCCCAATACTAGTGTAAATAAGAGGCTTTAAGTAAAGATGTAGATAAATAGGTAATCAATCTCATTATTCTTAAATATGATTTTATCACTCCTACAAAAGACCATGTCTTTGGAATGAAAGGGGATTATTTTAGAGAGGTCTTACTATATTATCTATATGCATGTTTTTTTTTTTTTTGAATACTTACTTTTTACTGTCAAGTTAACTTCAGTTCTTCGGAATCCACCACTATTTCCAGCAGTACAACCATATTTACCATGATCATCCATGTGAACTTCAGACACATATAAGCTTCCATTTTCCATTACACGAAAGCGTTTTTTGTCAAATCCATTTAAAGCATTATTTTTATCCCACTGAATGGTGGGAGGAGGATCACCAGAAGCTTTACAATCCAGTATGACAGGATAACCTTCGTAAGCTTCAGTATCCGTTGGTTGAATTGAAAATGTGGGCATCACTAGAAAATGATGTTACATTAATTTGATACTTGTTAAAAAATTTTTTTTAATTGAGTATTTTGAAATAGAAACTAACCTATCACATCAACTGTTATAGTAGTATTAATAATGCCTTGTGAATTAGTTGCAATACAAGTGTATTTAGCAGCATCTTCAGTTTTAACTCCATTAAAATGCAGAGTACCATTTTCATCTTGTATGTGCTTTGGCCAATCGAACATTTGTCGTCCTTCCCTGATCCATTTAACCGTTGGTACAGTCGCACCACGAGCTTTACAGTAAATTTTAGCAGTGGAACCGAGCTCTAAGTTTTTACTAACAGGTGGTGGGACAAATTTCAATTGCTCTGAAATAGAAAACATTTGTTGTGTAAGATATTTTTTAACATATAAATAAAAGAAAACAGTAAAAAGCAAAATTTAACCTTTTACATCGACAAAAGCACTGTTTGAACGAACGGGTTCAAAACCAATTGTATATACTTCACAAAAATATGAAGCAGAATCAGACAAAACAATATTTTTTATTGTCAAAGATCCATTATTTGAATGAACAATGTAATGAGTCCCAACTTCTTTAACATATTTATCTTCCTTCAGCCATCTTACAGTGGTTATAGGATGTGGATTACCATCGTATTGACAGTTTAAAGAAACAGTATCTCCTTCATCAACTAGTATATTAATTGGATCCATTGTAATTGTGGGAGGTACTGAAAATAAATTAAACGATTCAATTAAATTATCAAGTACACATGTTAGTGTAAGTTTCTCATCTGAAATATTGATCAATTTCAAGCATAAATCTATGAGAAACATGATTATAACTCAAACCAACATACAGAAAATCAAAAATTTCATAATATATATATTAATTAATACACCATAAATAAATTTTATAAAAAGCAACCCTCCTGTTAATTGATATGAAATTTACTGTGTAACTTTTATCCAAAAAAATAAGTAACTCATAAAAAACTTGGAATGCAAACAAAAGTGAAAAAAATGAATATTGGAAATGGTGTCCTCCCTTGAATTTGGCAGCATAAATCACAGAAGCTATCATATAAGAAGCAATTTTTAATTGGTAACATTTCAAACTTCTAAGTTAAGTGCCACTTGTTGATTTATTTGATGGTTCCTTATCAAAATATCATTTATTGAAATAAACAAAATACTTTTTTAAAAATAATTTTCAATTATATATGTATGCTATTTTATTTTAGAATCATCTTATCCAGAAAAAACAAAAATGACAACTTACAACCAAAAATTTATCAAACCATTTTTGAATACCCTGAAGAAAGATAATTAAATGTTTACTTTATGAAAGATGCAATAAACATTAAAGATATTAATTAATATTTTGCACATTCTCAACAATTGTTCTGTTTAAGAACGGTAAGACAAGAGTTGTTTCTTAAAAGACATTAGATATACTTTGATTCTGATTTATTAATATATGAGAACTCATTATAGTTTGCTTTTATTCACTTTGTGCATTTGTTGTAATAAAGTTTACTAAAGTGCACAAATGTATCTCTATATTATAGATCCTTCTATCAGTGATTATAATTTGATTAATTTAAACAAATTTTATTTTACTCTATTTGTTTCCTACTTATTGTCTTAACTAATGTTTTGTTGCCATTAAATAAAGAAATGCCTGTTAACTTACATATTTGCTTCTCCCATTTCATACCTGTTACCTTTATATCAGTGAATAATCTAATCAGCAATTTTATTTTATTTTATAAATAATTTTGAATCATTACTTTAAAATGCTACAAAATACCTATTTCCTTATGATGTTATTTGGGAAACATGGGTTGGGTGAGTGGGTTATGCCAAAACAAGGTACAAATTTCAACCATAAGATATAATGGATAAGCTCATACCTGTTTATAAGATTCCAATTTACAAAAAATTTTTCAGAAATAAGATTTTCTCACAAATTAATTTACACGAGGGATTCCCAACTTTTATCTTGCATTGATCTCACATACAAAATATTTTCAATCGACTCCCTTAAAATTTTTAATCCCCAATATTTGCATAATATATCAAGTAAATTATTTAAAAAGTTTAAAAACAATAATAAAACAAAATTTTTGAATTTTGTTTCTGAATAAAAATTTTACATCAGAAAAATTTCTTGGTGTTCACTTGATTGAAATAAGGTTTATTACATGAACAATTATTATACAAAAACATTCATTTTGCAAAATCTTATTACAAACATATAGTAATCATTTAAATTATTAAATCAGTTAATGAATTTCTCACATGATTGTTATTATTCTTATTTGAAAATTATCAGAAATTCTCAAAAAAAAACAATAAGTATCTGACTTTCCCGTGAAACCATTGGGAGTTCTGCTTTACACTATATTATACTATTGTATATCAATAATTAATACAATTTATTTATTATCATGATAATAAATTGCAAGGATCAGATGAAACTGTGCTTTGTCAAATTATACATTCAACCTTTTTTTAAAAATGATTTTGAACTATTTAATTGTTTTTTACTTGTATAAATATATTTAGAAAAGGTATATATATGCACAACAGTAAACAAAGATATGTTTTACCAACTGTTTTACCCCAAGTCGAAAGACATTAGAGAACAAAAGGGTCATCCTCATTCATGGGTAAATGATTCATGAAGAATGAGATCTCCCACAATTACACAGAAGACAAAAGGGAACATTCTTTGGTCTAGAAACCTAAGCAGATGAACAGTAAACTGTACAACAGAAGTCAAAAGGATTGACAAATTTACATATACAGTATAATCTTAAACCTTCAAAAGAGAAGTTTTTAAAAAAATAATAAAATTACTCTGATCTTCTCAACAGTCCTTTTTATTAATATCAAAGAGATGTACAGTACTTACACCACATGCATTTTGAAGTGTATTATCTAACAGTTCCTTTTTAGTAGTAGAAACACAAAGTAAGTAGCATAATGTGAACACTGACATTCAAGATTTTTAAAATTATTTTTGTTTGAAGCCCTATGAAAATCTAATCCATTATGATAAAATTCATTATTTAATTTTGATGCATTTAAAATACAATATGGAAATTTTGTCTTTTTAATTTTTCTTGTTTTTTTATTTCTTTCCTTTCCTTCCTTTCCTTCTCTTTCACTAAAAAAGTAAATCTAGAATCTAAGATACATACTGAATTGAAATTATTTTTGAGGTAATTTTAAAATTTGTACTGATTACATTAATTTTGTTCCAAATTTAAAGGTAACAAACTTTTAAGATAACTTTTAATTATTCCTTATAGTATAATGCCTTCCAATATACTATATTTCCTCAAATTTAAAATCATGTTCTTATATGTGACCATGCTCTTACATGCAAGTATGCTCTTATAAACAAAGCAGGATGTGTTTCAAAAATGCAAAAAGAAGTGACTTTTACATATAAAAGCATGCTCCTATTTTCATGGAAATATGGTATATATTCAATGGATTAAATATTAGTAACAATCAATTTCTAATGACAATATTCATAAGTTATATTAAATGTATTAATATATACACTAAAATTTGTTTTTTAGTACTATTTATTTATTACATAATTTATAATTCAATAACAACAGAGTAAAAAGTTCAATATAAATATATATATTAATTTAAGTGACTGAAACAAGAAATCATATTCTTAATATTACTGAAAAGAAAATATTTCAATTTAATTATATAAGCTTAATGAAGCAACTGATATGAAAATTACATAAGTATAATGTCTATAATTTTCACATCAGTTATACACTAAATGTAATATAATTATTATATGTTTAATTATAGACAATTAATGTCATATGATGTCTATGATTAGGCCTATACATTATACACATCATACATGAGAAACTATGAAATATTAAAACTATACCTTAGTTTCCTATGTGTAAATTAAAATTATTTTAACGACAGCACAATGGTTTTAAAGAAATTTATTTACAGATCAAAATATGTAACAGTAAGGAATAGAATATGAAATAAACTGGATTCATACCTGTGACTTGTAAATTTATAAAATTTTTAATTCTTCCGGCTATATTTTCTGCTACACACGTGTAATTACCAGAATCATTTCTTTTTGCGCTGCTGATGATGAGACGCGTGTCGTCGACTCGTATTCTGCCACTGTCGCTGATGACGTGCCCAGATGGGTTTTCCCACCACATTTTGGATTTAGGACGTCCGTCCACTCTAATACAAGTCACTTCATACATATCATTTCGTGGCACGATGGTAATTTCACCGGGTGGTACTTGAGGTTCAAAGGCATTTGTATTATCGAGTTTAATATCTATTTAATGAACATAAGTAAAGTATGCAAATTATTAATTGTAATCTTTACTTTAAAATATCTTTTATTAATTTATTAAATGCTAAAAAATGATTTTTAAGTTTATTAAATTCATTTTACTATGAATTTTGCAATTTATAAGACATTTCTACTTTATAAAACATAACTGTTAAATAATAAATTTTTGTATGATTTTTAAAAACTGAAAGTGATAACCACATTTTGCACTTTAACTTCTTTTATTGTACCATAAGTCTGGTTGCACCATTAGATGGCAAAGCTGTTAATTTTTATTACAAACTCATAAACATTGAAATATTTGCTAAAGATTTTATCTTGTATAATTTTATTATAAAACAGTAATAGCTTTTATTGTACATTTTTTTATTTTTGAAGTTAATGATTAGTGGTTGAACAGAAATAATTCATGTATCTGATTAATAACAATAAATTTCAAAAGAATGCGCATTTATTCAAGATTCAAATAACAATTTTTATTTTTATTTTAAAAAATATCCATTAACATAGAACTCCTAATAATCATATAATGATTATTAGATGGATATTAGGAGTTCTGTATTAGAATCTTTAAGAAATGTACATCAACACAAAAACTTTACAAACTCTTGGTGTTAGATGCTAAAAAGTTTAGATTTCTCCTATATTATAATCACTTCATACTCAAAAAATGGTAGACTATCTACACCGGAGTACTGTAACACAACCACATATCTATAAACCTTTTACTGGCATGCATTTCATCACACTCTACAATTACATTACAAACGTTTTCGAACCGTTACAGTTCTTCTTCAGGTAACAGTTCGAAAACGTTTGTAACATAATTGTAGAGTGTGATGAAATGCGCACCGGTAAAAGGTTTATAGATACGTGGTTGTGTTACACTTCATACTCATTAGCCAATTATCTACAAATTAGCTAATAGTCCTCATGCTGAAAGACTATAGACTTGAGTTCAATCTAATGCTATTTAATTCAAAAGTAGGAAAAAATAAATAAAAGAATGAACCAAAAATGCATTCTAAACTTTTCCAGTATATTTTCTAAAAAATTTGTGATACCTTTAATTTTCATAAAAAAAAGGAAACAATCTATAAATGAAACATTTCACCATTATAAGGAATAGATATGTTTTGGGACCACTGTAAAGTGACATATAAATATGAAACATATAAACAATGTTCCACTATATTACATTTTGTGCCTTGCCAACTTTTTACTCTTACTGGATGTTTTTCTACTTTGTTTTTTATTCTTTCTATCCTCTGGGCACTAAATGGGTCTTTTTTATCAGGCCCATTGTGAATTTGGCCAGGCACAAAACGGGGCAGCTGGGTGGCAAAGACAGACCACCCCAAAATTCCTGGCATTTTTGACCCATCCAGATTCATTCCTGGGTCCCTAGAGCTAGACTGACACCTTAACCACCTGTTACATGTATGGTGAACTACTATATATTATAAAAATAACATTTTTCCCATTCATTAAGTTATATGTATATAAACTATAAAAGAAAATATATATTTATATTTTAGATGAATTTAAATGCATGTTTTCAAATGTACATTTATGTACATATAAAGTATTTTACTAATGTATTTAAATGTTTACTGTATTTAAAATGTTTTAAAAAGGAAAACATTTTAAATACAATTGAAATTTCAGTATATTGTAATATATCAATGATTTCAAAAGTATATAGATCCAATTTACTGTAATTTATAAATACAATAAAAATAGTCTAATATAAAAATTCATTTAAATAAATTTTGCAATAATAGTAAATTAAACTAAACAACTGAATAGTGAGTAATTTTAATAGTTACAAATTATTAAATTAATAAAAATAAACTTACAAGCAATATACAGATGGGCAATATAAGTCTGCTGTGGTGCATCTTTGCTAAGAGCGCTAATGCCGACACACCGATAGATACCTTCGTCGTGGTCGCCGACATTGGAAATAAACAGAGTTCCATTAGAATATATGGTGAATCTAAGATTGGCAAAATAAAATATGATAAGACATTGCAACAAACCATAATGATATTTGATCAATATAATTGTATTTTTAACATTGGAATGCAATATAATTACATTTAATAAGTATAAACAAGTCAATTTAGTTGTTAAAATAGAAGAAAAATATAAGATAGTATTAGACTGCATGTCTGTCACACAATTATAATCTATATTTAATCTGATGGCATCTGTCAAAGACATTAGTATTGTAAAGGGAAAACAACAATTTTTTTTTTTTTTTTTTTAACAATTTAGGGGTAATTGTTCAGCTCATGTACCATGTTCTTGATGAATGTCCACCTTATTTTAAATTATAATCTATATTTAATCTGATGGCATCTGTCAAAGACATTAGTATTGTAAAGGGAAAACAACAATTTTTTTTTTTTTTTTTTTTAACAATTTAGGGTAATTGTTCAGCTCATGTACCATGTTCTTGATGAATGTCCACCTTATTTTAAGTTTTTAAATCTAGTAAAAGTGGGATAATAGTTAGAATATTTAATTATATTATATTTCCAATAAAATATTTTAATTAATTTTTTATTAAATTTTACAGATACTGCGCAATAGCATTTGATAAGTACATCCATAAACCCCAAGATAATAAAATAAATGTAAAATAAAGACAATCAGAACTAAACTAAAACAAGGATAATACATTATAAAAATAAAAAACAATATAAATAATGGTATAAATTGTTTATATTTACAAACTTGTAGTTGCAGTGCATCTTCAGTCCCTCCACTGAAAATACAGCATAATAAAAAGTTCTTTGGAGACAAGCTTAATGATGTAAACTTAATAATTTGATTTCCTCTATTTGTTATGCTACATGTATAAACTACATATTAGCATTTCAACTTAAACTTTAACTGTAACAATTATTACTTGCATTGTTTTGTTACACTGACAAATTTCTTCTAATTAAATAACTATTGTCTAAAAAAAATCATACTTTTACCCTACAATACTTTGCATAAAATTTTAAATCAATGATAAAAAATATCAGAAAATTTTTCAACCCTTTAAGAACTTTATTCTGTTTACAGTCTTGTCTTTATTTCAGTTGGCATTATCTTGACATTGAAAAAGATTTGATACACCAAAATCTTTGAATTTATAATTATAAGTATTATTAAATATTGCATAATGAACGATATAGTTAACTTACATGGTTATATACAGAATAGTTTCAAAATTTTAACCAATTACAATTAATTGATAACAACTATGAAATACACTCAAAAGACTGTATAAACAATTTATGTATTTTATAAATTTCAAATATTTTTCTAACTTTAAAAATAAACTTTTTAACTCATACACATGCATATATATGGATGCTTATGTCAAGAACATAATATGATGCAAAGAGAAAAGAATGGTAACATCCACTTCAATTATTGGACTATTCCAAAAATTATATTCCTTCTCTTTTATTAAATCTTTTTTTACATTATATCATTACATAAGCACATATTTTATCCCACAATTATTTTGAAGCACCTGTATGCTTTGTATATTAATCAAAATCAATGTCTTGGAAGATGTCTCTTCCTCTATATTGACTATATATCAGACATGGGCAAATGCAGCTCTTTTTAGGTTACGTGCGGCTCTTGCTGAAAGTGTTAATTTCTGTTTTTATTATTATTTTTACAATTTTATTTCCACAATTTTGTGAAAATATGTTTATTTAAAACATTCAATACTTGTTTTATATTATACTAGAAAATTGCGGTACAGAACTGTGGCTCCCATGCATTTTGCTAAAACCTACATTTCGGCTCCCATTGATCTCTTGCTTGCCCACCCCTGCTATATATTATATAGCAGGGGTGGGCAAGCAAGAGATCAGTGGGACAGAAAAATTAAATACGATATAAAAACGTGCTATTTTAATAGAAAGTACGCGGAAAATGTAGACGAAAAGATCGAAATCGTACTCATTTTATAACGAATTTATTAAATTACGGAAATTTCGAGCTGTTATTTGCTATAAAAGCTCTTTTATGATAATAAAATGAACTTTTTCACTTTATTTTCCGTTAAAGATCAATTTTTTAAGTTACAACGTCCTTATTTATAGCATACTTTATTTTTCTATACTTAGAGATAGGAAGCATGCATGTGCCCTTTGATACTTTCGAGATAGGCGCAAAGCAAAGGCAATTTTTCTGTAAATTTATCTTTCTACGATAATATTGATAGCGTAAACTGTTTATACGTTTCCTTGTTTTATAAGTAAAGTGAAAGATATAACTCTTTCCATTCAAACAACAGCATATTATGGAGAGTTATTGAATTATCCCGTATCTGATTTCACAAGTTTTCAATAAATTTTAAGATCAAAACGGCACTCTAATGGCACGGTTAGATGGGTAAACCGATACATCTTCGTTCTAAATAAACAAGAATTTAAATATAAAGTCTAAAACATGTTGACTTTCCCGTTAAACTTTTCAAATATTATATAATTATAAAATAATATAAGCGCAGAGATCGATTAAATTCGCTTCTTAGGCTAATTTATCGTCGGTAGTGATGGGGAAATCCCCAAAATCGATGCGAATTTTTAATATTTAAACGAAATAATATAGACCGATACAAATAAAGTACTCGAATTAAAATAAAATATAAATATAACAGGGAGAAAACGTGGCTTTTACGATCGGCAATCCTCAAAATAACTTCGAGATAAACGTCTGTACCCGTATGCTTAATTTGAAAAAGATGTGCTAAGCAAACTGAATTTTATCTCGTAAACGGGTAAGATTTCTGCTAAGACTTTACATTCTTAGCAGAAGTCTTCAAATTCTTCAAATATTTTAAGTGTTTTAAATCGTGCGATAGAAATTTATTTTTTAAAATCAACAGTTTTTGTTTTAAAACGGCGAAAAATCGGGATTTACGCGATTAACAATAAGTAAATATTATACACGCAGAAATTAAAATAATTTTGCTCTATATGTTCACACAGAATGAAAAAAAAATCCAGCAACGAGACAACTGCTTAACTTTCCCGGAAACACTTTAAACTGCGCGTGTGGTGCCATTCGTTACCATATTTTATTATTAAAAATTTTTATATTTTTAATTATTATAAAATGGCAAAAAGCTGTTTTCGGGGTAGGAACGGGTTTTGTAAAGAAAGAAAAGAAAAAAAGAAAAAAAAAACTAAATGCTAATAACGAGTAAAATCGTCATTAAGTCCGATCCTACTGGAGATACGCACGACCCCTTTATCTTCCTACTCGTCGACCTTTAATCACCAAAATTTAATAGCATCGATCCCCGTAATACACAAACCACCCCGCAAAATTTCAGAAATTTTCGATAGAAAGAACGGGAGTTATTAAGCTTCAAATAAGGTGAACAAAATCGTGCCCCTCACACTCATCCAGATAAACCCCTATTTTTTTTTTTTTTTTTGCATTTAAACCAGTGTCTCTCAACGGGGGCGATATCGCCCCGGTGTGGGCGTTTTTCCACGTTTAGGGGACGATTAGTAACAATTTATATTTTGGGGGCGAAAAACAATTTTCTGGGCGATATAGTAAAACATTATATTAAGAATAATTAGATATTTTATTCGTTATATCGTACAACAATTAAATAAATAACATTATACTAGTTACTAGTCTATTCGATGCAGTACGAATATGGCGTTAGCCATGTCCCTCGGCATCGGAATTTTGAACTGAAGGGGACGATACTACGTAACGGTTTTATTGAAGGGACGATACTACGTTGAAGGGGGCGACGATTCGTTAGAGGTTGAGAAACACTGATTTAAACGTTTCAAATTCTCCTGAGTCCAAAAAGGTTAAAATCTGAGTGGGGTCATTTTTGACCGATGGCCATACTTCCCCTCTGTTGTATAGTCTATAACAGAGCAGGGAAAGTAAAAAATGTTCAGAATTGACTGAAAGCTGAAAAAATAAAAATATTGCAGCATGTAATAACCGCAGTGTACAAACGAATTCGGTTCAATCTCTTCACAATGTACAGTACCGTACATATAAAGTTTCGTTACAAGTTTCATTTAATTTAAGTATTTGAAAAATCTTATGTAAATCGAAAACTGTTACATCCGTGATTATTTATGCTTTTGCCGGATATACGAATATTTCTTTAGGGATAATTACACTTAATTTACGTCAATCTTCGTATATAGGCGCGCTCAAGATAAATCAGCGTCGCATCGTATACACAAATAATCTTCACGTAAAGATTATCAATCGTATTTCTTAACGACTTAAACGTAATTAAATATGTCGTAACTTCTTAGGAAAAGTTCTGTGCGTCGAGTATCATTTTTAATTAATACGAAGGCTTCTATAACCGAAATGAACGTTTAATATTTTCTCGCTACGCTTTTAATCTAACTAGAGAACTAAATACAGCAACAATTATATTTAGTTCGTAAATTCGTGGAATTATTCTGGTCTTAAAGAATATCAAAATTAGTTCTGTTTCTTTTTCCACAGTTTTCCATTACTAGAAAATTCATAGAACTAGAGCAAGTTATTCAAAATTACGTGAAACATTTCCCCATCCGAATAAGACGTCGTCTCATTTTTTATTTATTAAAATATCGCGTGTTTCTAACATTATCGATACTCCAATACGAGAGGGAGGTTCTTTTTTTCATTTAATCTTTAATGTTAAAACGTGTAAACTCCGATACTGACATAACAAATTTGACGAAGAAGCACACTCCAAAATTTGAAAAAAATTCCATTAAAATAAGAAACGATAAAGAGAGTACAATTAATTTGAAATTCGATATTTTAAAATATTGGTTTAAATATAAAATAAGACGTTTAAAATTTACTGTTTTATTTCATTAAATGTTCATTAATTCAAGTGCATAGTGCTTTCCATGACGCACCAGTTAAGTAATTTGAAGTGAATTTAATGGATTATTTTATTTAAGTTACCGTTTGCGAGTTATAAAAGTCTAATTAATGATCACTCGACTCTTTTCTAATTAATAAAAATCTAAACCACGCACGAAAATGAATAACTCACGCTAACTCCACTTAAAACTATTACTCGGAGTTATAAAGTTAACGTCGATATTAAAGAAAATTAATTTTGACGCAGTCAAAGACAGAGATTTCGCGAAATCAGCATAAAAATTATCTTGGAGATTCTGAAGAGGAATTAAAATTCCATTCATATATCCTATAAACGAGGAGTTTTCCAATCTAAGAATTTACCCAACTGAAATACTTAAAAAGAGTTAAACAGTTGTGAAAATAAAGCGAAATACGTCACACAGCGTATTTAAATTAATCCTTTTGTAGGAAAAATAAGATGCGTGTTTTCCATCAAGATATGTTTCCTATTCGGCTCACGAATGAAAAGTAGCCGAGATAGATAACAGTCGGCTTCCATTAACGCTTTAAACGCTGTCCAACGCCCGCAGCTAACGCGGGCATTCCCTTCCCCAAATTTAATGTATAGAGATAACCCCTCGCTTCGAGAGAGAAAATAGTACCCATGGGATATTCGACTCACGTCCCTACTATTGTAGTAACTATAGCAACCGACCAACACTCACCTGGTACCGTTAACCAATGGGACATCCTTATTCTGAACGTACCATTCGACGACTGCCGCATTTTCGTACACACAATCAAATTGTACGTTTTTACCTTTCTTTACAATAACGTCTTTGGGTAGTTGCACGATTCTCGCAGCGTTTTTGCCTGGCATAAGGAGAGTAAAATAAGTGAATTATCACATTTTATGCATCCCATTTCCATAAAGTGAAACTTACTTGGTAAAATGAGTGGAAAGTTTTCTTCGCTTTCGGCAGCACCGGCTTTGTTGACGGCTCTGCACGAGTATATTCCGTTATCTTGAGGCGATAGCGAAGCAATGTGCAGACGTTTGTTTCTAAAAGAAACTCTTTCGTTCCTGAAGAGCCTTATACCGTTATGATACCATTCGAACGATATTTCTGGACTTCCTTCCACCTTACACCTCAAAACTAATTCGTCGCCTTCGCTCAATTCTTCTAAATTATAGGGACTGTGCAGCTGAACTTTAGCAGAGTCTCCTATCCCTGTTACAAAAAAAGTAATCATTAAATTTTCTTAATGCATAAAAATGGGCGGAACTCGAAATCTTTTACAATAACAATCGAAAGGATCACCGTCGATTGGCGGAACTAAAATTACGGACTATGGTTACTGGATGCCGTTTACGGTTTATTTAGTCGATTACCGAGTCATTTATCTTGTTAAAAATTTATATTCGGCGCTGAATATTAATTAGCATCCTTTCTTCTGAAACCTATTCAACTCCGAATTATGTTAATAATAACAGAACGAAGTCTATTAAAAAGAAGAAAGCAGTCGAACTTGTCAGCCCCGGGCTAAACAAGCTGACCAAACCAATTACAATGAACCAAGTATGTGATGGGAACCAAACCGTGACGAATACCCAAGGGGGAAAAATTCCGTCGTTCTTTCCTGTGAGAGTCGAGAAGAGAATAAACCGAGCGAAACGTTAAGACACTAGAATGTTATACTCTATACATTATACTTACACAAGATGTTGAGCTGAGCCGGAGGACTGGCCAACGAAACACCGGACGTAACATTCATGGCGATACACTTGAATTCACCTAGATCGTGTTGCGGATCCACTCGACGTATGCGAAGATTTGTGTCTTCTTGGTATCTTCTCGTATTGTTCTCTATAGTTTCGCCATTCAAAGTCCAATAAATGGTAATGTGATGTCGGCGTGTGACGCCGCATTCTAAAACGGCATTCTCCCCTTTAAAAACTGTGACGTCACGCGGTACTGGATCAAACTGTAATCCGTCTAGTGTTATACAGTCCACTAAAACAACTAAAATAAAGAAAAAAGAAAGAATAATATTCAAATCTTCACCTAATATATGGAATATCAATTTACGAAATGACGTTTCGGTTTCAAAAAATAATTTGGCGGAAAACTATTTAAAGATTGTATCGAATATAAGAGTTAATCACAGAATTTATATAGAATATGGAAAAATAACTAATTAAACAGGGCTGGCCGCTTGCCAAATGCTCACTATCACGTAACATTTGAGAAAGACTCGCAACTGATAAAACTAATCGATGGAAGTAATAATGACTTTTCGGCTGGAAATAATTTTATTAAACAAAAATCATCTCGCACTTTCGACATTTTTATTAATTTCGGTCGGTACATTTTAGTCCACTTTCACCCGCGGCAACGTCTTTAACTCGATTACAACAAAGAATTCAACGATATGAGGCCCATTCGGGTTGAGAACGAGTGTAATCTACTAGAAAATACCACCGAATTGTTTGGTAAACACATCATATGCTTATATTACATGCACGAGTAATTTTCGAATATTAAAATGTAACTACGACGGACATCGAAATTTAACAATTTAATGAATTTGGAGAATGATATATGTAAATTTTTTATCTTCATTTTTTCAAACATTCTGGAATTTAGAGGAAAAAACAAGACAAGAGATTTGTTACTACAATATTTCTCAAATGTAGGAAAAGAAATAATAGAAAAAATAATAATAAAAAAAATTTAACGAATCTCAAAGGTGAAACTAATGATACCTTTAGATGCGCGAAGTAGTAATTTGCAGATAATAGTGTGTTTCAAAAAAAGGTGGGATCTTGGAAGAGTAAAAATTGAACCAGTTTTGAAGTTGCTGATGAGTTTCGGCTAATGAATATGGGTAAAACTAATCGATGAAAATGACTCATTAACATGAGTAGATATGAAGCGCTGTGAAAGAAACGTCCGCGAAAATCCATTAAATATAAAATACGCCTTTTTTCCTATTTTTAAAAATAATTCTACTAAATATCATTATGAAAATTTCGGATATAATACGAATAATACCTATTAGAGCAAGTACTTCAAGCTTTTATCGTAAATGAAAAAAGAAAAACCGGCGTAACTCTATCCTAAAAATAGCAAAATGAGATACAGAGAAGATTATTAAAGATATAAATGAAGCAAACTGGCTTCGTAACAAAAACAGAAATGAAAAACGACGGTTGGACATTCCGAAACTAGGAACAATCCCGATAATTTCTTTACTTCTCGACATACAATAAATCCATTCCATCATCGACATAATAATAATAATGATAAAAGCATACATCATTTTTTAAAAATTAAAATATTAATTTAAATCTCGAGACCTTTAAAACGATAAACTCGCTAAACAATAAAACAAATCAAAACAAAAATTCAAATAGGTGACGTCACACTAAACTACCGACATCTCAGCTGTGATGTCACCGATTTCAAATAACAAAAAATAATTGACCGATTTTAAACTAAATAATTCATCACGTGACTAAAAACAGCCGATTAATTATAATTTAAAGCATAAAACAAACGGAATTAGCCAAAAAAAATGCGGATAATTGGCGTTATTAAGCGGCACATTAAATCGATTTTTAATTAAATAAAGCAGGCATTTATATTAGGTTATATACAGAAAAGAAAGTTATAATTCGCGAGTTATTTATAAGGGCTTGTGTTTTACCTTAACCTTTAGGAATTAACCACGAGAAAGTCAAATAAATAAATAAATAAAATCTCGTCTGGCACAGACCAAACGAACTGGAGCTGTCAATAGTCGTCTGCCAGCCGACAAATATCGTTAAAACTAATGAATATATACGATGTTTACTTACCGTAAACTAAAATAAAACAGGATCTGATCGCAAACATTTTAATCGATCAATAATTAATTAAATCATTTCATTTCTCCACTCTTGTTTTCCATCTTCTCTCATTTTACTTTGTTCTTTCCACCGTAACCTGGCAACACACAAACCGCGCGTCTCCATCCGAAACGAAAAATAATCCCCAGCGGCAAAACCGGATACGCATTAAATACGCAAATATTTTCCTTAATTTCACGAAATTTCACCGCGCCAGTGCGTAAAATTTCCAGATATTTTCGCAAAATTTCAACGTTCTTAAATATTCGTCGTTACGGTTATGTTTTGATTATAAGCCGCTTTACACCACGAGGTGTTTAAATATCCTCGCGCACGTCAAAATCGTTTGGTTTTGTTGTTGCCATCTTTCTTTTTTTTTGTATTTTTTTAATAAAAAAATCAATTTTTTTTTCTTCGTTAATAATTAAAAATTCCGAACTTTTCTGTTAAATTTTATTAACCTTCGGCTTCGATAAAATATTAATTTATTACTAAAAATAACTTTAAAATATTTCGATATTTTCCCAAATAATACTTTAAAAATTCAACATATATTTAACTTTTTTTTTCTTTAAAATTAATCGAATTTATTATTTGTATTATTTTTTTAAATAAAATAATAAAAATCTAATTCGTATTTTTTTTGTTTCTTTTTAAATTTTAATAATTGTAAATTTAGAAAATTACATTTTAACATCTGGAATTGTGACGTCATTACGTTGTTATTATAAAAAATTATTGTCTACGTACGAAGTCCATAAAAAATGAAACAATAATAATAACAATACAAAAAACCAGAAGGTATTGTCTGAACATCCGTTTCGTGATACTATAAAACACTAGCGTTCTCAACAATATTTGAGTAAACAATTTAATGTTTTTAGTTAGTAAATCTAAGAAAGAAAAAAAATTCTCAACTAAAACCAGATTTTCTCGTTGACTGAGAGAAAACACAACCATCCATTCTAAGAATAAACCGAAGAATAAAATATACAAAGAACGTGCTTCCATCTATCGGCGCCTACGAAAACTAATTTTTGGCAGAATTTTTTTTTCAATTTAAAAATTTTTTAACAGATCTATAAAACACGTTATAAATTTAAATTTATAAAATTATATATTTAAAAAATTTTTATACGCATTTGACCTTTAATATTTGCCAATACTCTGTGCGGTATTTTTGAAGGGGTGTTGCCAAGTATACTACACAATTGATGAAATAAAAACCTAATTTCCAATAAGTGAATTTTAGCAAATAGGATCAGAAACGAAAATTTAAACCAATTTTAAAGAATGAAAGTAGTAAATTCGATATCCGAAGTATTTCTATTTTAAAAAAGGGGTAATAAATTCGACATTTTTTAAAATTGATTTTTCTAAGGAGAAAAGATAAAATATAATTAAAAACACACCCCGAACGTATTCCTCCAGTGTATGTAATATACATAATGGACTTTACATTTATTTAAATAATTTTAAAAAAATTACATCAAAGTAAAATCTGTATAACCTTATTTTTCAAAAATTATTCTATCTTACTTCCTTATGCTTGAAACAGAATGGGACATCTGTTAATACAAAAACAAGAGGAAAATTGCCCTGCACCTGGACTATAGACGGATATAACCATTGCTGTAACGTTTATACCTGCATAAAATAATATATATATATATTAATAATATTCTTATTAAAAAATATAATCAAATTAATTAAAAGATTGTATCGAATATA